GAAGAGGAGGAAAAAAAGAAAGAGGATGAAGAGGAGTTAGAGGAGGAAGAGGAGGAAAAAGAGGAAAATGAGGAAGAAGAGGAAGAAAAGGAAGAGAAGGAAGAGGAGGAAAATGAGGATTGCCTGCATGGATGGAGCAATGAGAGGTACCTGGAGAGAGGAAGAACAGGAAGATGAAGAGGAGGAAGAGAATTTTGAGGAGGAAGAGGAGGGTGCCCTGCATGGATGAAGCAATCCAGAGGTACCTGGAGAGAGGAAGAACAGGAAGATGAAGAGGATTTAGATTGCTCCCTTCAGCCTCGGCGGGGGCAGCAGGGAAATGTTTTGTGGCTTTGTTTTGTTGGGAAGCATCCCGAGAAATCTGTGTCCATCCGTTGGAGACTACCTTAGGTTGTGGGGTGGCTCTGTGTGGTGAAAAAAATTTTTTTTTTAAACTTGTGCTTCTAAAGAAAGGCTTAGTAGTTTCTGTTGTTTGGTTTTAATGCAGTTTATTGTAAGCTATCTAAAAAATTGTTTTTTTGGGTTGTTGCGGTTTGCACAGTAGCACAGGCAGAGGCACACACACTCTTGGCATCTTCTCTGACTCTTGTCTTCTTCTCTCCCCCTGCCCCTGGGTTGTTGCTATCTTTTATATGGTAAATTAAGTGTAAAATGTTTATAGTTTTTCTTTAATATTTACTACCTATATTAAATGGTGTTTTTTTACTCTAAACTAATTTTTGAGTGCCAACATCACCAAGAACATGGAGGGAAGGAAGAAGAAAGAGGGAGGACAGGGCAGGCCCAAATCCCTCCATCTTAAACCCTCTGACCCCATGTACAAAACCAAAACCCCCCTGTACAGCACTCAAAAATTCTTCCCTCTACTTTGTGACTACTTCTACTCTAATATCTAAATTTTGTGACTTCTTGTTCTTCCTGCAAGGTTGGTAAATCATTCCATGGCTCAAACCCAAAATCACAGCTGTTTCCAGCTGCCTGCCAGGGTCTCAAATGCTTCTGACCTGGGCCTGGAACCTCCAAAAATGTCTGAGGGACATTTTGAGTTCCGACATCCATCCGTGGTGAAGCTCCCGGAACTGGAGGATTAAAGGCAGAACCAGATTCGGTGCTTCCAGATATGAAATTCCAAAGGGTTTGATCAAAACAGCTGGAAAAAATCCATCCAAAACAATCCCTGCTCGGTTTGGGTTGGAAAACCAAAGCAAAGCAGGCACGGATGAGATGCAGGCTGGGATCCTGGAATGGCCACTCCGGATGGGATTGAGCAGTGCTGAGGGACTTGGGATTCCAGGAATCCAGGACAGCACATTCCCAGCTCTGTCACCAGCTCTGGGCTTCCTCTGAGCAGCCAGCAGCAGGGAATTGGTGGTTTTGGTGGAAAAGATGTGGAAAAATGTCATGGAAGTCACTTGGGAAGTGCAAGGATGAAAGGAGAGGGAGCAGTGAGGTCCTTTCTGTGGGAATCCAGAGCTTCCCTCTGGCTGCCCTGGGACCCTGGCAGGGGTCAGGAACCCCCCTGGACAGAGCCCCCAGAGACACTGGCTGTGATCTCTGCCCATGGAAAAGAGTTTTCAATCTTACAGGATCAATTACCAGCTCTGAGTGTTTGATATCAGTAATAATTAAGTGTGGCACAGGTGCAAAAGTAAAATTTTAGGATTCTAGATGAGGGGTCCAAAGGGGACAAGATGGAGGAAATTGGGTGTGCCTTGTCCTTTTTCTCCTTCTTCATGCCCTCCCTGTTTCACTGTGCTGTTGGCATTTTTCTGTTGGTTCAGGCTGGGGACACACTGTCCAACGTAGGTGACAGATATTGGCACGTTATTGTAAATCCAGCACAGGTAGTTTGTGGTATTTAATGTTTGTAACATCCCACTGAGGGCAGAGCCCCACACGCTGCCCTGCAGGACAGAGCTGCGGCAGGGCAGCAGAACATGTTAGAGATAAACAGAATAAACAACCTTGAAACCAGCACAGACCAATTATGGCTTCTGCTTTGGCAGCGGGGCTGACAGACAGAGACTTTTACAATCTCAGAATCATCAATACCTCAGATTCCGACACTATCAACCCCCCCTGGTGCCAAGGGAGCCCTGCCAGGAACTTTGGGATAACTGGAGCATGAGATTCCAGGTTTGGATGGAGACAAAAAGGGAAAAAAAACTCATGGGGTTCTTCAGACAGAAAATTCGCATTTCCCTGAGATAATCCCGGTCTGGTCGGGGTGAGATTGGACAGAAATCCCTGGATTCCATGAGGAGCACAAGGTCTGGGCTCCAGCAGGATGATATTCCCTGGTTTAGGCTGGGAAAGGGGATGTGGCCACAGGAATGGCACCACTCGGGGCCATCTCCTGCTCCTCAGCATTCCCAGGGCACCCCTGGAAGCCACCACCTCCTCCAAAGGGATAACCCCGATCCTTTAAACTTCCAGCAGCTGGGGAGGCTGGAATTCCTCATCCAGCCTGGCTGGGGACTGTCTGCTTTTCCAGGAAAACCTCCGGGCCCTGAAATCCTTGGAGCAGTTGGCCAGAGATGCTCCGAGAGCAGCACGCAATTTCCTGGGAATTCAGCAGAATTTCACAAAATTTTCCTGGGAATTTGGCTCCCTGGGAGTGGGATCCAACCCCTCCATCCTCTCCATCATCCCAAAACCTCCAGCCCTTCCTTTCCACGTGGGATTCCCTCTCCAGCTGCCACCAACAACGCTCAGAGGGGATAAAAAACAAAAATCCCAATTCCCTTCCCTGCAAAAAGGGGTTTTCCTCCCTTTCCCTGCCCTCTTTTCCCACTTTCTCCACATCCTCCCTCCCTGCAGACGGGCTGTGCTTTCCAGACACATTTCCCTTCCCAAATATTCGGGATTTCTGGCCGAGTCCCTCTGTACAGTGTGTCCCTCCAAGCCCAAATCCCCTCACATCGCTCCTCCTCCTCCTCCTCCTCCTCCTCCTCCTCGCTCCGGATCCCTGCAGGGCTCCCCCAGCCCCGGGAGGATGTTTTGGCTGGGAATTTTCTATGGAAAACAAGGAGAAAGGGAGCCCAGAGGGGGAGCTGGCACCTGCTGAGCTGCGCTAAATCATTCCAGGCTCCTGGGAGGAGCAAGAACCGCTCCGGGCTCCTCCTTTCCTCTCCTCTCCTCTCCTTTCCTTGCGGGAGGAAATGCTTGGAGAGGCCGGGAAGAGCCGGCTCCAAGGAGTTCAGGGAGCCAGGATGGGATGGGGACAGGGACAGGGGTGGGACAGCTCTGCAGGACCCCCAGGGGCACTGGGGTGAGCCCCAAAACCTCTTCCCAACCGTGGGTCACCCCCAGGACACGATCCCTGTGCTTATCTCCACAATCCCACCCTGGCTGAGCCATGGGGGGATGGATGAGATCCCAAATTCTGGAGGATAGATGAGATCCCAAATTCTGGAGGATGGATGAGATCCCAAATCCCAGGGGGGTAGATGAGATCCCAAATCCTGGGGGATGGATGAGATCCCAAATCCCAGGGAGATGGATGAGATCCCAAATCCCAGGGGATAGATGAGATCCCAAATCCCAGGGAGATGGATGAGATCCCAAATCCTGGGGGATGGATGAGATCCCAAATTCCAGGGGATGGGTGAGATCCCAAATCCCGGGGATGGATGAGATCCCAAATTCCAGGGGATGGATGAGATCCCAAATCCCAGGGGGATGGATGAGATCCCAAATCCCAGGGGGATGGATGAGATCCCAAATCCCAGGGGGATGGATGAGATCCCAAATCCCAGAGGAATGGATGAAATCCCAGATCCAGGGAGATGGATGAGATCCCAGATCCTGGGGGATGGATCAGCTCCCAAATCCCGGGGGGATGGATGAGATCCCAAATCCCAGGGGATGGATGAGACCCCCAATCCTGGGGAGATGAATGAGATCCCAAATCCCGGGGATGGGTGAGATCCCAAATCCTGGGGGATGGATGAGATCCAAAATCTCAGGAGATGAATGAGATCTCCCAGTCCAGAGGGATGGATGAGATCCCAAATCCTGGGGGATGGATGAGACCCCTCAAATACTGGGGAATGTATGAGATCCCAAATCCCAGGGGGATGGATGAGATCCCAAATTCTGGAGGATGGATGAGATCCAAAATCTCAGGAGATGAATGAGATCTCCCAGTCCAGAGGGATGGATGAAATCACAAATCCTGGGAGATGGATGAGATCCCAAATCCCAAGGGATGGATGAGACCCCCAATCCCGGGGATGGATGAGATCCCAAATTCCAGGGAGATGGATGAGATCCCAAATCCTGGGGGATAGGTGAGCTCCCAAATCTCAGGAGGATGGATGAGACCCCCCAATACCAGCAGGATGGATGAGATCCCAAATCCCGGGGGATGGATGAGATCCCAAATCCCAGGGGATGGGTGAGATCCCAAATCCCGGGGGATGGATGAGATCCCAAATCCTGGGAGATGGATGAGACCCCCAATCCCGAGGGATGGATGAGATCCCAAATCCCAGGGGGATGGATGAGATCCCAAATCTTGGGGGATGGATGAGACCCCAAATCCCAGGGGATGGATGAGACCCCCCAATCCCAGCAGGATGGATGAGATCCCAAATCCTGGTGGGACAGCTGAGACCCCCCACCCCCAATCCCATGTGGAGTTTCCCAGCCTGCAGAAATGCCAGCTTGGCAACCCCACGCTGCCAAACCCGAAGACAAATTCCCGCTGTCACAGTGGCCCCTTTGGTAGGGAATTTATTTACTTTGGATGCTGCCGCCTTATCGTCCATGGAAATGTTTATCCCAAATATTTAACGGCAGCCTCGGAGCAGGGCCCACCTCTCCCCTCCTGCTAGTGTAAAAATTCAGGGTAATTCCTTGCTTTTCCCAAAAAAATCTCACTCTCAGCACCCCCAAAAACCGATATTCCTGATATTCCCTCGTCTGGCCAGCGGCTCAGTGATGAGAAACGCAGGAGATCCCTGAAAAACAACATCCCAAACCCGCTAAATCGTTCAACAGAGCGAGCCTGGAAAGTGCCAACACTCCTGAGAGAAGACGGGAGAGAGGAGGGAGGACAGAAATCGCAGTTATTTATAACGCCAGGCAGCTCCCGGGGCTCTCCAGTCTCTCCTCAAAGCCGCGGCGGGGAGGTCGCTCCCCAAAATCCTGCCGAGCTCCTGCCAGCGCAATATTTGCTCCGGGATCTGGGGCGGGCACCCGGCGGGAGCCACCCGCCCATGCTGCCGGTGCCAGGGCAGAGCCCGCAGCAGCCTGTGCACAGGAGGAGCGCAGCTCGGTGAGTCCGGCTCGGCCGCTTTTAGGCAGGTTTTTTATTGTTGTTTTATTTATTTGCGTGTTTTTTGGGATTTTTTTGGGTTTTTTTGGGTTTTTTTTTTTTTTTTGGAAGCTGATTTCCATCCCTGCGCCCCGGGTGGCACAGCTGGAGAGATGGAGCTGCTGGAGAGGTGTTTCCACTCCTGCCCATCTCCCGGTGCCCATCTCCCTTCCCACCCACTTCTCCCGGTGCCCACCTCTCCTTTTGCCCAATTTTCCTGCTTCTTCTCCCTCCTGCCCACTTTTCCTGATGCCATCTCCCTTCCCACCCATTTTCCTGATGCCATCTCCCTTCTCACCCATTTTCCTGGTGCCCATCTCCCCATCTCCCTTCCCACCCACTTCTCCCGGTGCCCACCTCTCCTTTTGCCCGATTTTCCTGCTTCTCCTCTCTCCTGCCCACCTCTCCCGGTGCCCACCTCTCCCCCTGCCCAATTCTCCTGCTTCTTCTCTCTCCTGCCCACTTTTCCTGATGCCATTTCCCTTCCCACCCATTTTCCTGGTGCCCATCTCCCCATTTCCCTTCCCACCCACTTCTCCCGGTGCCCACCTGTCCTTTTGCCCAATTCTCCTGCTTCTTCTCCCTCCCACCCACTTCTCCCGGTGCCCACTTCTCCTTTTGCCCAATTTTCCTGCTTCTTCTCTCTCCTGCCCACTTCTCCCAGTGCCCACCTCTCCTTTTGCCCAATTATCCCGCTGATTGTTTCTCCTGCCCACTTTTCCTGATGCCATCTCCCTTCCCACCCATTTTCCTGGTGCCCATCTCCCCATTTCCCTTCCCACCCACTTCTCCCGGTGCCCACCTCTCCTTTTGCCCAATTCTCCCACTGCTTCTCTCTCCTACCCACTTTTCCTGATGCCATCTCCCTTCCCACCCACTTCTCCCGCCGTTCCTCTCTCCTGCCCACTTTTCTCGATGCCCACCTCCCTTCCCACCCGTTTTCCTGGTGCCCCTCTTCCCTCCTGCCCACTTTTCCCGACGTCCTTTTCCCTCCCTCTTTTTTCCTGCTGCTCCTTTTCCATCTCACCCACCTCCCCATCCCATCTCCCCTCCTGCCCCTCTGCCATCTCCGTGCCCCATCCCATTATCCCATTATCCCATTATCCCATCCCATTATCCCATCCCATTATCCCATCCCATCCCATTATCCCATCCCATCCCATCCCATCCCCGTTGCACCCCCCTGACACGGGACAGGGACACCAGGAGGGGACAGGGACACCAGGAGGGGACAGGGACCCCACCCCAAACCCAGTGGGGAACCCCCAGGGATGGGGGAGAACCCCACAAACAACCAGGGGACAGCAGGGGGGCGCTGGGGACAGATTTTGGGGTCACCAGAGGGGTCAAGGGGGGCGCTGGGAAAGGTGGGGGGACACCAGGGATGGGTTCTGATCCCAGGGATGGGGGGGTTTACCCTAAAAAATGGGGTTTTCCCCCCAGAAATGAGGGTTTTGCCCCCCAAAAATGGGGTTTTGTCACCAAAGATGGGGGGTTGCCCCCCAGAAATAGGAGTTTTGCCCCCAGAGATGCTGTTTTGCCCCCAGAAATGGGGGGTTTGCCCCCCAAATATGGGATTTTTCCTCCAGGGATGGGGTTTTTGCTCCCAGGGATGGAGTTTTTTCCTCCAGGCATAGAGTTTTGTCTCTGGGAACGGGATTTTTGCCCCCCAGGGATGGGGTTTTTCTTCCAGTTATAGGGGTTTTTCCCCCAGGGATTGGGGTTTTTGCCCCCAGGGATGGGGTTTTGCCCCCAGGGATTGGGGTTTTGCCCCCAGGGATGGGGTTTTTGTCCCCCAAATATAGGGATTTGCCCTCAGTGATGGAGATATTCTCCCCAGGGATGGGATTTTGTCCCCAGGAATGGGGTTTTTTCTCCAGGAATGGGGTTTTTGACCCCAGGATTGGGGTTTTGCCCCCAGGGATGGGGGTTTTGGTCCCAGGGATGGGGTTTTGCCCCCAAGGGATGGGCTTTTTCCTCCAGGGATGGGGTTTTTCCCCCAGGAATGGGGTTTTGCCCCCCAGGAATGGGGTTTTGCCCCCCAGGAATGGGGTTTTTGCCCCCCAGGAATGGGGTTTTTCCTCCAGGGATGGGGTTTTTCCTCCAGGGATGGGTTTTTTCCCCCCAGGAGTGGGGTTTTTGCCCCCCAGGAATGGGGTTTTTGCCCCCCAGGAATGGGGTTTTTTTCCCCCAGGAATGGGTTTTTCCCCCCAGGAATGGGGTTTTTGCCCCCCAGGAATGGGGTTTTGCCCCCCAGGAATGGGGTTTTGCCCCCCAGGAATGGGGTTTTTGCCCCCCAGGAATGGTTTTTTTCCTCCAGGGGTGGGGTTTTTCCTCCAGGGATGGGGTTTTGCCCCAAAGGGGCCCCCAAGAAGAGGCTGCCAAGAGGGTGGAGAAGCTGCAGGCTGTGGTATGAGAGCAGGCACAGAGCCCTGGAGCAGCAGGAGGAGGAGGAGGAGGAGAAACTCCTCTGCCCCTGCCAAGCTCCCCGTGGCACTCAGCATCCCTCAGGATCCCGTCCCGAGCACACAGAGCAGGAGCCGGGAATAAAAGGACAAATCCCGGCCTTGCCACGCCTGCCTCAATCCCGCTTTTCTCCCGTGCCAGGCTGGCAGGGCAGGGCACTCTGTGCCCTCTGTGCGTGCCAGGCCGGGCGTCCCCTCCCTGCTGCAGGCTGGGGACATGGCCAGGGGTCAGCAGGTGACCTCAGGGCCACCCGCGGCATGGCAAAAAGGGGACACTGGTCCCTGCTGGTTTTTACTGGTCCCTACTGGTCCCTGCTGGTCCTTGCTGGTCCTTACTGGTCCCTGTTGGTCCCTGCTGGTTCTTACTGGTGCCTGCTGGTCCCTGCTGGTCCTTACTGCTCCCTGCTCATCCTTACTGGTCCCTACTGGTCCCTGCTGGTCCCTGCTGGTCCCTGTTGGTCTCTACTGGTCCCTACTGGTCCCTGTTGGTCCCTAATGGTCCCTGCTCATCCTTACTGGTCCCTACTGGTCCTTACTGCTCCCTGCTGGTCCCTATTGGTCCCTGCTCATCCTTACTGGTCCCTACTGGTTCCTGCTGGTCCCTGCTGGTTCTTACTGGACCCTGTTGGTCCCTGCTGGTCCCTGCTGGTCCCTATTGGTGCCTGCTGGTTCTTACTGGTGCCTGCTGGTCCCTGCTGGTCCTTACTGCTCCCTGCTCATCCTTACTGGTCCCTACTGGTCCCTGCTGGTCCCTGCTGGTCCCTGTTGGTCTCTACTGGTCCCTACTGGTCCCTGTTGGTCCCTAATGGTCCCTGCTCATCCTTACTGGTCCCTACTGGTCCTTACTGCTCCCTGCTGGTCCCTATTGGTCCCTGCTCATCCTTACTGGTCCCTACTGGTTCCTGCTGGTCCCTGCTGGTTCTTACTGGACCCTGTTGGTCCCTGCTGGTCCCTGCTGGTCCCTATTGGTGCCTGCTGGTTCTTACTGGTGCCTGCTGGTCCCTGCTGGTCCTTGCTGTCCCTGCTCATCCTTACTGGTTCTTGTTGGTCTCTACTGGTCCCTACTGGTCCCTGTTGGTCCTTGCTGGTCCTTACTGGTCCCTACTGGTCCCTACTGGTACCTATTGGTCCCTATTGGTCCCGACTGGTCCTTGCTGTCTTTGCTGGTTCCTGCTGGTCCTTACTGGTCCCTGTTGGTCCCTACTGGTCCCTGTTCATCCTTACTGGTCTCAACTGGTCCTTACTGATCTCAACTGGTCCTTACTGGTCTCTGCTCATCCTTACTGGTCCCTGCTGGTCCCTGCTGGTCCTTACTGGTCCTTACTGGTCCCTGCTCATCCTTACTGGTCCCTATTGGTCCCTGTTGGTCCTTACTGGTCCTTACTGGTCCCTGCTCATCCTTGCTGATCCCTACTGGTCCTTGCTGTCCCTGCTCATCCTTACTGGTTCCTGTTGGTCTCTACTGGTCCCTACTGGTTCCTGCTGGTTCCTGCTGGTCTTTACTGGTCCCTTTTGGTCCCCACTGGTCCCTATTGGTCCCTATTGGTCCTTGCTGTCTTTGCTGGTTCCTGCTGGTCTTTACTGGTCTCTGCTCATCCTTACTGGTCCCTGCTGGTCCCTGCTGGTCCCTGTTGGTCCTTACTGGTCCCTACTGGTCCTTACTGGTCCCTGCTGGTCCCTGCTGATCCCTAGTGGTCCCTGCTCATCCTTACTGGTCCCTGTTGGTCCCTGCTGGTCCCTACTGGTCCCTATTGGTCCCTGCTCATCCTTACTGGTCCCTGCTGGTCCTTACTGGTACCTACTGGTCCCTACTCATCCCTGCTGGTCTTTACTGGTCCCTACTGGTCCCTATTGGTCCCTGCTCATCCTTACTGGTCCCTGCTGGTCCTTACTGGTCCCTGCTCACCCTTACTGGTCCCTACTGGTCCCTACTGGTCTCTGCTCATCCTTACTGGTCCCTGCTGGTCCCTGTTGGTTCCTGCTGGTCCTTGCTGATCCCTACTGGTCCCTGCTGGTTCTTACTGGTCCCTGCTAGTTCCTACTGGTACCTATTGGTCCCTATTGGTCTCAACTGGTCCTTGCTGTCTTTGTTGGTTCCTACTGGTCCTTACTGGTCCCTGCTCATCCTTACTGGTCCCTGTTGGTCCTTACTGGTCCCTACTGGTCCCTACTCATCCCTGCTGGTCTTTACTGGTCCCTACTGGTACCTATTGGTCCCTATTGGTCCCGACTGCTCCTTGCTGTCTTTGCTGGTCCCTGCTGGTCCTTACTGGTCCCTGTTGGACCTTACTGGTCCCTACTGGTCCCTGCTGGTCCCTGTTGGTCCCTGTTGGTCCCTGCTGTCCCCACCGGAGCAGAGCTGGCAGTGACACCCCCCCAGCCACGTCGGATCCTCTCCCGCTCCCAGCAGGACGTTCCTGGAGGCATTTCAGGACGTTCCTGGCCTCAGGAACACCCCGTGAGCGCCGGTTTATCCCGGGATCGGGAGGGAGGATGACTCCGGAGCGGGAATCCTCCCCACCTGGCCATGGCAGGGATGGCTTTGCCTCCTCTGGGCCCAGCAGCAGTTGTTGTCCCCTCTCCCTGGTCACACCCAGGGCGCTGCCCCTTCTCCTGCCTGGGGAAATGGGAGCTTGGAAGAGGTTTCAGCTCCAAAATCAGGCGGGATTTGTTTACCAGGATCTGCGTCCTGCGTTTCTGTGGGGGAAGGGAGAGCTGGAAGAAACCCACAGCGATTCCTGTCACCAGGAGCATAAATAGATCCTTCAAAAGACGCCTCGAGCTCCTTCAAAAGCTCCTTGAGCTCCTTCAAAAGCTCCTCGAGCTCCTTCAAAAGGCTCCTCGAGCTCCCAAAATCACCCTGATCCGGCAGCTTCGCCTGTCAGACAGAGAATTCAAATCCCTCCTCCAAGGGGATCCGAATTCCTTCTCCTCCCTCCCACGCAGAGCCAGCCCCGGGCACCTCGTGTGACCTCGCACAAATCTCTGCGTCCCCAGGCTCTGTCCTCGCCCAGAAACTGCCCAAATCTCCTCCAGGGTGGGAGGTTTCCCCAAATTTCCACTGGTTTCTCCCAAATCCCCACTGGTTTCCCCCAAATCTCCTCCAGGGTGGGAGATTTCTCCCAAATTTCCACTGGTTTCTCCCAAATTTCCACTGGTTTCTCCCAAATCTCCACCGGTTTCTCCCAAATCTCCTCACAAGTGGGAGGTTTCTCCCAAATCTCCATCGGTCTCTCCTAAATCTCCACTGGTTTCTCCCAAATCTCCTCCAGGGTGGGAGTTTTCTCTTAAATCTCCACCGGTTCCTCCCAGATCTCCTCCAGGGTGGGAGGTTTCTCCCAAATCTCCTCCAGGGTGGGAGATTTCTCCCAAATTTCCACTGGTTTCTCCCAAATTTCCACTGGTTTCTCCCAAATCTCCACCGGTTTCTCCCAAATCTCCTCACAAGTGGGAGGTTTCTTCCAAATCTCCACCGGTCTTTCCTAAATCTCCACTGATTTCTCCCAAATCTCCTCCAAAGTGGGAGATTTCCCCTAAATCTCCACTGATTTCTCCCAAATCTCCTCCACGGTGGGAGGTTTCTCCCAAAATCTCCATGGGAATGGAGATCCCTCCCAAATCCCCATGGGGAGGGAATTTTTTTCCCAAATCTCCACTGGTTTCCCCCAAATCTCCTCCAGGGTGGGAGGTTTCTCACAAATCTCCACCAGTTTCTCCCAAATCTCCACTGGTTTCTCCCAAATCTCCTCCAGAGTGGGAGGTTTCTCCTAAATCTTCACTGGTTTCTCCCAAATCTCTACCGGTTCCTCCCAGATCTCCTCCAGGGTGGGAGATTTTTCCCAAATCTCCACTGGTTTCCCCCAAATCTCCTCCAGGGTGGGAGTTTTCTCCCAAGTCTCCACTGGTTTCTCCCAAATCTCCACTGGTTTCTCCCAAATCTTCTCCAGAGTGGGAGGTTTCTCCCAAATCTCCACTGGTTTCTCCCAAATCTCCTCCAGGGTGGGAGATTTTTCCCAAATCTCCACCGGTTCCTCCTGAATCTCCACCGATTCCTCCCGAATCTCCAGCAGGCCGGAATTTTCTCCAAGGTGAAAAGAGGGAAGATCACGTAACTCCACACAAGGGAGGTGTCCACAGACAGGGATTTTTGGGCCGGATTCCCTCATCTCCTGCCTCTCCATCTCTGCCACCCCCTCCAGCTCTGCCTTCCTCCCCCCACTCATCCTCCCACGGCGTTGTCCCCTCACAGGTCCCTCCAGCGCCATGCCTTGGGCCACCACCATCATCCTCATCCTGGCCGGGCTCTGCGGCTCCTCCCTGGGCCAGTACAACGAGGAGGAGGACCTGGCGTGGCTCCAGTACTACCTGCGGCAGTCCCGCGTCTCCTCCTACAACTACGTGCCCTACTACGAGGAGGAGAGCCCCGCCTACGCCTACTCCTACCCCTCGGCCACCGACACCGAGCCCGAGCCCGAGCCCGAGCCGCAGCAAGCCGCGCCCTGGAGGTGTCCCCAAGAGTGTGACTGTCCCCCCAACTTCTCCTCGGCCATGTACTGCGACACCCGCAACCTGCGCTACCTGCCCTTCGTGCCGTCGCGCATGAAGTACGTTTATTTCCAGAACAATCTGATCACCTCCGTCCAGGAGGGCGCCTTCGACAACGCCACGGAGCTGGAGTGGCTGGCGCTGCACAACAACCAGATCGGCAGCGAAAAGATGGGGAAAAGGGTTTTTGGGAAGTTGCAGCGCCTGGAGAGGCTCTACATGAACAACAACAACCTGACCAGGCTGCCCGGCCCGCTGCCGCGCTCGCTGCGAGAGCTCCACCTCTCCTACAACCACATCTCCAAGGTGCCTTCCAATGCTCTGGAGGGGCTGGAGAACCTCACGGCGCTCTACCTCAGCCACAACTTCATCTTCGAGATGGGCGCGTCCCTCAAGGGGCTCAAGTCGTTGATCCTGGCCGACCTGAGCTACAACAACCTCAGGAAGGTCCCCGACGGGCTGCCGGCCTCCCTGGAGCAGCTCTACCTGGAGTACAACTACATCAACGCCATCCCCGACGATTATTTCCAGGTGTCCCCCAGGCTGCTCTACGTGAGGATGTCCCACAACAGCCTGACCAACCAAGGGCTCTCCAGCAACACCTTCAACAGCAGCAGCATCCTGGAGCTGGACCTCTCCTACAACCGGCTGCAGAAGATCCCGCGGGTCAACACCAACCTGGAGAACCTCTACCTGCAGGGGAACCAGATCAACGGTGAGCAGGGCTGGGGAACCCGCGGGAACCGCCTGGGGCGGTGCTTCGAGCAGGAATTTGGGATTCCTCCCAGATCTCCACTGGTTTGTTCCAAGTCTCCACCAAGAATGGAGGTTCCTCTCAAATCCTCACTGGGAGAGAGGTTTTTTTTCCCAAATCTCCACTGGTTTCCTGCAGATCTCCACTGAGGACTAAGGTTCCTCCCAGATCTCCTCTAGGGCAGGAGTTTTATCCTAAATCTCCACTGCTTCCTCCCAGATCTCCACTGAGGACTGTTTCCTCCCAAATCTTCTCCAGAGATGGAGGTTCCCCCCCAGATTTCCACTGGGAAATGGGAAATCAGGATGGGGATGGGACATGGGGATGGGAATGGGAAATGGGAAATGGGAAATGGGAGATGGGAAATGGGAATGAGAATGGGAAATGGGAATAGGGATGGGGATGGGAAATGGGAATGGGGATGGGGATGGGAATGGGAATGGGAAATGTGGATGGCAGTGAGGATGGGAAATGGGAATATGAATGGGAAATGGGAATGGGCAATATAAATGGGAAATGGGAAATGGGAAATGGGAAATGGGAAATGGGAAATGGGAAATGGGAAATGGGAAATGGGAAATGGGAATGGGAAATGGGAATCAGAAATATAAATGGGAAATGGGAATGGGAAATATAAATGGGAAATGGGAAATGGGAAATGGGAATGGGAAATGGGAGTGGGAAATGGGAGTGGGAAATGGGGATGGGAATAGAGATGGGAAATGGGAATGGGTAATGGGGATGGGAATGGAGATGGGAAATCGGAATGGGAAATGGGGACGGGAATGAGAACAGGAAATGGGGATGGGAATGGGAACGGAAAATGGGGATGGGAATGGGAAATGGGGATGGGAATGGGAAATGGGGATGGGAATGGGAAATGGGGATGGGAACGGGAAATGGGGATGGGAATGGGAAATGGGGATGGGAACGGGAAGGCGCTAGTGCAGCCATCGGCTGTTGCAGGGAGAACACAGAACCCCTCAGCGGGAGCTGCCAGCAGCACAGACACGGGAACAGATTCCCAAATGTTTGCTTTCCAGAGCGGAGCTGCCGCCGTCTGCCCACAAACGCTACGGAGCCACCACCGGCTCCTCCTCCTCCTCCTCCTCCTCCTCTGCGGGTCCTGCTGACCTTCTCAGCACCCCCAGGATCGGGGATGCGGCTCCAGGAGCGCTTCCCCAACCCCTTTGGAGCATCCCGCCCCCGGTCCTGCCCCTCCGCCCCACCGAGGGTCCCCCCCAAATCCCAGCGTGTCCCCCCCACAGCATCCCGCTGCCTTCTCCAGCACCAGCCCGGCCTGCAGCTCTGCTGCCCTCTAGGCTCAAATCCTGCATGAAAAAAAAACCAAAAAAATGTATTTTTGGAGTTTGTTCCATCTCCAGCTTCCAAACTCAGCCTGGGATGGAATTTCCCTGCCTGGCGCTGGCAGAGGGGACGGCTGGGATGGGGACAGGGACATCCCCGCTCCCAGACACACTGCCCGGGGGTCCCACGGTGGCCAGAGGGGTCAGGGGATGGAGGCTGCAGCACAGGAAGCCTCCAAAAGAGGCTGGGAAGGAAAATCCTGATGGAAAGCAACGTTTTCCATCCGAACTCCACCCTCCGGGCGCTCCATCCCAGCTGGGCAGGGAAGATTCCAAACCCTCCTGCTCCTCCTGGCTGCGGCCAGGAGCACCAGGAATCCTTTTAGCTTGAGGGGTTGAATCCAAATCTGTGGGAAAAATCAGCAAATTTGGGCTGCTCCCATGTTTTTCCCCTCTGCCCTGTTTTTCCTGTTTGGTTTGGGGTTTTTTTCCCTGTTTTTGCCTCAACACAAAGCAGCTCTCAGAGGTCGATCCCTTGGAGCAGAGAATTTCCCACTAAAAATCAGCCCTTTGGGGAAGGTTGTGGGGGATTCAGCTCCAGTGATGCCTCGGGAAGGCTGAGCCAGAGCAGAGGCCAGACAGAGCTAAAGAATAAAGCAGGGATTTATTAAAGGATCTCCTCATGGAGCCACCTTGGGCAGCACCAGAGCCCAGCCAGGGCTGCACCCAAGATGGACCAAAATGGTCACAAAGTGAACCCAAAATGGTCACAAAGTGAACCCAAAATGGTCACAAAATGAATCCGAAATGGTCACAAAATGGTCACAAAATGAACCCGAAATGGTCACAAAATGGACCCAAGATGAACCAAAATGGTCACAAAATGAGCCAAAGATGGACCCAAAATGGTCACAAAATGGTCACAAAATGGTCACAAAATGAACCCGAAATGGTCACAAAATGGAACCAAGTTGGACCCAAAATGGTCACAAAATGCACGACCACTCACGGGAGCTCTCAATTTTATCAGTTCTGCTCCATTTGCATATTGGAGTTAATTATCCAATTACAGCTTTAGCCCATGCAGTCCCATCCTGCTTGTTTTGCTCTCTTTAGCCCACATTGTTTATGTCCTTGGGCTTGAAATTTGGATCATTTGAAATTTGGATCATTTGAAATTTGGATCATTTGAAATTTGGATCACAGGGAGGGCCTGATATTTTGATCATTTGAAATTTGGATCATAGAGAGAGCCTGAGATTTGGATCATTTGAAATTTGGATGATTTGAAATTTGGCTCTTAGGGAGGGCCTGAAATTTGGATCATTTGAGATTTGGATCATTTGAAATTTGGATCACAGAGTGGGCCTAAGATTTGGATCATTTGAGATTTGGATCATTTGAAATTTGGATCACAGAGAGGGCCTGAGGTCTGGATAATTTGTCCTTGGTCCCCAGCTGGAGCAGGAATTGTTTTATCTCCCTACCCTGTGAACAGCGCTCACCATCCCATAACACAAAGCCCAACCCCACCCATTAAACCAGCCCAGAACCCGAAACCCACAAAAACTAAACCCCGAAGCCCTCAGCATCTCCTCTCCTCCCCAGAGTTCTCCATCAGCAGTTTCTGCTCCGTGGTGGACGTCATGAACTACTCGCGGCTCCAGGTGCTGCGGCTGGACGGCAACGCGATCAAGCGGAACGCGGTGCCCCCGGACGCGCCGCTGTGCCTGCGCCGGGCCACCGTCATCGAGATCTGACCACCCTCAGGACTCGTGTCCCCCTCTCCCAGGGACCCCCCTCATTCCCGCTTTTCCATCCCACTCGGCTTCGCGGCAGCGCAATCGCAGCGCGCTCACGGTTTTCCCGGAATTCTCCCTTTTCCCGCTTGGATTGAAGCTCTGAGCTCACCACAGCCACCCCACAAAGCGCCAAATCCCAAATCCCATCCCAAAACCGGGTCTGGGTCTCTGCTGTCACCTTCTGCCCCACACTGGGGTGGGATTCATATTGCCTTGGAAACGGGGAAATCCCAAAACCCATCCCAAACCCCATCCCAAACCTCATCCCAAACCCCATCCCAAAACCAGGTTGGGGTCTCCAATGTCACCTCCTGCCCCACACTGGGGTGGGATTCATATTGCCTTGGAAATGGGGAAATCCCAAACCCCATCCCAAACCCCATCCCAAAACCAGGCTGGGGTCTCCTCTGTCACCTCCTGCCCCACACTGCGGTGGGATTAATCCCGCCTTGGAAACGGGGAAATCCCAAATCCCATCCCAAACCCCATCCCAAAACCAGGTTGGGGTCTCCAATGTCACCTCCTGCCCCACACTGGGGTGGGGCTCATCCCACCCTGGAAACGAGGAAATCCCAAACCCCATCCCAAACCCCATCCCAAATCCCATCCCAAACCCCATCCCAAAACCGGGTCGGGGTCTCCAATGTCACCTCCTGCCCCACATTGCGGTGGGATTCATCCTGCCTTGGAAACGGGGAAATCCCAAACCCCATCCCAAATCCCATCCCAAAACCAGGTTGGGGTCTCCTCTGTCACCTCCTGCCCCACACTGGGGTGGGATTCATCCTGCCTTGGAAATAGGGAAATCCCAAATCCCATCCCAAATCCCATCCCAAATCCCATCCCAAATCCCATCCCAAATCCCATCCCAAATCCCATCCCAAAACCAGGTTGGGGTCTCCTCTGTCACCCCCTGCCCCACACTGCAGTGGGATTCATATTGCCTTGGAAATGGGGAAATCCCAAACCCCATCCCAAAACCGGGTCGGGGTCTCCAATGTCACCTCCTGCCCCACACTGGGGTGGGGCTCATCCCGCCTTGGAAACGGAGAAATCCCAAATCCCATCCCAAACCCCATCCCAAATCCCATCCCAAAACCAGCTCGGGGTCTCCAATGTCACCTCCTGCCCCACACTGCGGTGGAATTCATCCCGCCTTGGAAATGGGGAAATCCCAAATCCCATCCCATACCCCATCCCAAAACCAGGTTGGGGTCTCCTCTGTCACCTCCTGCCCCACACTGTGGTGGGATTTATCCCGCCTTGGAAATGGGGAAATCCCAAATCACATCCCAAAACTGGATCGGTGTCTCCGCTGTCACCTCCTGCCCCACACTGGGGTGGGATTCATCCCGCCTTGGAAACAGGGAAATCCCAAACCCCATCCCAAAATTGGGTCTGAGCCCCCTTGGAAGGAGCACCTGAGGGGTTTGGGAGCTGCAGGAGGGAAGGGTTGAAGATCTCCAGGCTGGAGGGTCCCTCAGTGTGGGGTGGGGAGGAGCAAATCCATCCCTTCCCTTCCTTTTCCCCCTTTTCCATCAACCTGCTCCAGAATTAAAAACCCTAAAGGAGAAAAACCCACCCTGAGGAACGGGCTGGGCATGGGAGAGCTCCCAAATCTTCATCCCAAACCTCTGGATCAGGGCAGGATGGTGCTGTCACCCCTGGTGTTGTCACCCCTGGTGTTGTCACCCCCAGCTGCCCCTCCCTGAGCTCAGCCCCCTGGGCTATCCCAATTTAAACCCCAAAATTAATCACAAAACCACGCTGGAATTCCCTAAAATTCCCAAATTCCCCAGCTCAGCCCCTCGGGTGGCTGAGTTTGAGGACCAAGGGGCAGCTGAGCTTTGGGGGTGTCCAAGGTGCTCACCCCGACCCTCCGCGTTGTTCCCGCATGCAAAAATCATTTTTAAAAATTAAAAAAAAACCCCCAAAAATGCCATAATTTCACCAGCATGAACTGTAAACCCCAAAACCATCAATAAAAACCTTCCAGTAGGTGCAGCCAGCGCGTTCCGGGATGATTTTCCAGCCATAATCCGGGCTGGAATTGCCGTCTAGCGGCTGGCCCGGGCACGGCACGGAGCTTTTCCCGGGAGCTGCGGCTTTTCCCGGAGAAACGGGGGGAAAAATATCCATGGATGTAGAGAGGGAGAAATTTGGGCAGGAAATTCCCGAATCAGGAGAGAAACGGAGCTGGGATTTGGGATTTTGGCTCTTTCCATCCCCTCTGGGATGATGCTCACCCCTCTAAAATCCCCAAAAATTTCTGGGACCATGAGGAACATCCTACTCTCCCCACACATCCCCCAGGCAGCATTTTGGGTGTAGAAGAGGAGAAATTTGGGCAGGAAATTCCTGATCTATTACCTCCGAATCAGGAGAGAAACGGAGCTGGGATTTGGGATTTTGGCTCTTTCCATCCCCTCTGGGACGATGCTCACCCCTCGGAGATCCCAAACACTTTGGGGAGACCATGGGGCTGCCCTGCTGCCCAGAGGGGAATTTGTGGGGCGGATCCTCTGTGGGATCCTTCCCGAAAGTGAGGTGCGACCCCTGAAAAATCCCACAAATGGACCAAAAATCCCCCCGGTGCTTCCTGGGGGTGGGAATGTTCTCCGTGGGGCACGCTGGGCTTGTGGGGGAAAGGGGATGTGTCCCAGGGAAAAGGGAAGGTGCTCCAGGAAAAAAGGAAAGCGTCCCAGGAAAAGTATCCCAGGAAAAAGGGGAAAGTGCTCCAGGGAAAAAGGAAAAGTGTCCAAGGGAAAAGGAAAAGTGTGCCAGGAAAAAAGGGAAAATTCCCAAGAAAAAGGGAAATTTCCCAGGAAAAAAGGGAAATTTCCCAGGAAAAAAAGAGAAATGTCCCAGGAAAAAAGGGAAAGTGTCCCAGGAAAAAGGGGAAGTGCTCCAGGGAAAAAGGAAAGGTGTCCCAGGGAAAAGTGTGCCAGGAAAAAAGGGAAAGTGTCCCAGGAAAATTGTCCCAGGAAAAAAGGGAAATTTCCCAGGAAAAAAGGGAATTGTCCCAGGAAAAAGAGAAAGTGCCCCAGGAAAAGCATCCCAGGAAAAAGGAAAAGTGTCCCAGGAAAAAGGGGAAAGTGTCCCAAGAAAAGTGTCCCAGGAAAAAGGGAAATTTCCCAGGAAAAAAGGGAAAGTGTCCCAGGAAAAGTGTCCCAGGAAAAAAGGGAAAGTGTCCCAGGAAAAAGGGAAAGTACTCCAGGGAAAAAGGAAAAGTGTCCAAGGGAAAAGGAAAAGTGTGCCAGGAAAAAAGGGAAATTTCCCAGGAAAAAAGGGAAAGTGTCCCAGGAAAAAAGGGAAAGTGTCCCAGGAAAAAGGGAAATGTCCCAGGGAAAAAGGAAAGGTGTCCCAGGGAAAAGGAACAGTGTGTCAGGAAAAAAGGGAAAGTGCCCCAGGAAAAGTGTCCCTGGAAAAAGGGAAATTTCCCAGGAAAAAGGGAAAGTGTCCCAGGAAAAAAGGGAAATTTCCCAGGAAAAAGGTAGAGTGCTCCAGGGAAAAAGGGAAAGTGCCCCAGGAAAAGCATTCCAGGAAAAAGGGAAATGTCCCAGGAAAAAAGGGAAAGTGTTCCAGGAAAAAGGGGAAAGTGCTCCAGGGAAAAGGGAAATGTCCCAGGAAAAAGAGAAATGTCCCAGGAAAAAAGGGAAAGTGCCCCAGGAAAAGTGTTCCAGGAAAAAGGGAGATGTCCCAGGGAAAAGGGAAAGTGCTCCAGGGAAAAGGGAAAGTGTCTCAGGGAAAAGGAAAAGTGTCCCAGGAAAAAGGAAAAGTGTCCCAGGAAAAAGGTCCCAGGAAAAAGGGAAATGTCCCAGGAAAAAAGGAAAGTGTCCCAGGAAAAGTGTCCCAGGAAAAAGGGGAAAGTGCTCCAGGAAAAATGTCCCAGGAAAAAGGGAAATGTCCCAGGAAAAAAGGGAAAGTGTCCCAGGAAAAGCATTCCAGGAAAAAGGGAAAGTGTCCCAGGGAAAAGGAAAAGTGTCCTAGGAAAAACGTCCCAGGAAAAAAGGGAAAGTGCCCCAGGAAAAACGTTCCAGTAAAAAGGGGAAAGTTTCCCAGAAAAAAGGAAAAGCATCCCAGGGAAAAGGAAAAATGTCCCAGGAAAAACATCCCAGGAATAAGGGAAATGTCCCAGGAAAAAAGGGAAAGTGCCCCAGGAAAAACGGGAAAGTGCCCCAGGAAAAACGTCCCAGGAAAAAGGGAAATGTCCCAGGAAAAAGAGAAATGTCCCAGGAAAAAAGGGAAAGTGCCCCAGGAAAAGCATTCCAGGAAAAAGGGGAAAGTGTCCCAGGGAAAAGGGGAAATTTCCCAGGAAAAAGGGAGAGTGCTCCAGGGAAAAAGAGAAAATGTCCCAGGAAAAAAGGGAAAGTGTCCCAGGAAAAAGGGAAAGTGCTCCAGGGAAAAGGGAAAACATTATCTTGAGCTCCTTTTTTCTTTCTTCTCCTTCCTCTTCCTTCCTGGGTTTGGGTGACATCGTACCCGGGCAGGAAAATCCCCGCTGTGGGTTTTTAGGGGCGGTTGTTGGGTCAGAAAGGGAAATCATTTAGGTGTCACTTCTTAATTGGGGAGCTTAGTTTGTGATTAACTTAAAAAAAAAACATGTAACAGGAAATTTTTAAGCATTTTTGTGCTGTTTTTTTTTTCTGGTGCTGAAGTTTTGATAACAACAAACAGAAGCTGACAAAGGGGAAAAAAAAAATCAATGGTTTAATATTTTCTCCTTTTTTCTGACACAAAACTGCTCCAGGAGTGGGGCACAGAGGAAAAAATAAAAAATTCCCAGCAGGGCTCACCTGAGTCATTCCCAGCCTGAATTCCTGGAATTTGGATCCCAGGATTGCTGAGTCAGCGGATTTTTGGGCTGGGTGCGGCGCAGGAAATTCAGAATTTCCCCCTCACGTTGTTCCCAGCGTGGGTTTGGGGCTGAAATTCCAAATTTGGAATCTTCTCCTGAGCCGGCAGGAATGAGGAAGGCTGGTGATAAATGATGGTTTTTATTAAAGTAATAAAAAAGAACGAGGATTTGTACAGGTGAGGGTATAAAATGGAATTTTACATCAGGGAGCAGCTCCTCCAATTCCTCACAGGATTCTGGCCATTTCCACCAAAAAAAAGGGAAAAAACAAAAACAAAAGAAAGAAACAAAGGAAAAAAAACTAAAAAAAAAACCCAAAAAAAAAAACCCCAAAAAAACAGAAACACAAAAAATCCCCAAAAAAACTAACAAAAAAACAAAAACCCAAAAAAAAAAACACACCAAAAAAACCCCCAAAAAACAAAACAAAAAAACCCCAAAAAAACCAAAAATACAGAAAACACCAAAACCCAACCCACCAAAAAAAAACCCAAACAAAACAAAAAAAACCCCAAAAGCCCCAAAAGAACCCCACAAAAAACCCACAAAAAAACCCCACAAAACAACAAAAAAAACCCCAACAAAACAAAACCTTCCAAAAAAAACCCCCCAAAACAACCCCCCAAAAAACAATAACAAAATAAAATTAGCAACGAAAATAACCAAAACAAAACCCTCCCAGAAAAACAAAAAAAAAAACCCCAAAACCCCTCAAAAATAAAAAAAAAAATTAGAAATACAAAAAAACTCCCAAAAAAACCCCCAACAAACCCCACAAAAAAACCCAACAAAAAACCCGACAAACCCCCCCAAAAAAACAAATAAAAAGAAACCCAACAAAAACCCTAAAAAAATTAGCAACAAAAAAACCCCAAACCAAAACAAATCCCCTAAAAATTAAAACAAACAACAAAAAAAACAAACAAAAAATAAAATAAACCAAAAAATAAACAAACAAACAAAAAACCCCGACAAAATAACCCAAAGAAACAAGAAGCAGGTCCCGTTCAACAGTCCAGCTCGGTTTAAAAATAAAATTAAAATACAAATAATAATAATTAATAATAATAATTATGACAGAAACCCCCTCAAAGACACCGTCTCAAAATCCACATCAGACTTGGAGGCAAAAGGCAACGAGAGCAGAGAAATTCACAGTTTTTTCTGGCACCAGAGAGAAGTTGGGTTTTATCCAAATTTGGCTGGTTTTGAAGCTCATTAAAAGGAAAAAAAAAGGGGGAAAAAGGGGGAAAAAAGGAAAAAAAAAAGGGAATAAAAAAGGAAAAAAAAGGAAAAAAAAAGGGGAAAAAAAAGGAAAAAAAAGACAGAGAACGAGGCTGTTTTGGTTCTGGGGTGGGAAAATTCTGGGAAAATTTAATTCAAACTTTGTTCCTGCCCAAAATGAGGAATCCCCAAAAAAAAAAAAAAATTGAGATCCTTTATCCAGGAAAAATAATTAAAATTTGCTTTTTTTTTTTTTTTATTGAAGCTTATTAAAAGGAAAAAAAAAAGACACGTTCCTTTGGTGGGAAATTCCTGGAAAATTGAATTCAAACTTTGATCCTGCCCAAAATGAGGAATCCCAAAACAAAAAAAGGCATTTAGATCCTTTATCCAGGAAAAAAAAATTAAAATTTGCTTTTTTTATTTAATTTTTATTGAAGCTTATTAAAAGGAAAAAAAAAAGACACGTTCCTTTGGTGGGAAATTCCTGGAAAATTTAATTGAAATTTTGATCCTGCCCTAAATTAGAAATCTCAAAAAAAAAAAAAAAATTGAGATCCTTTATCCAGGAAAAAAAATTAAAATTTGTTTTTTTTTTTTTTTTTTTTTTTTATTGAAGCTTATTAAAAGGAAAAATAAGGACACGTTCCTTTGGTGGGAAATTCCTGGAAAATTTAATTCAAATTTTGATCTTGCCCTAAATGAGGAATCCCAAAAAAACCCTAAAATTGAGATCCTTTATCCAGGAAAAAAAATTTAAATTTGCTTGTTTTTTTATTTTTATTGAAGATTATTAAAAGGAAAAAAAAAAATGACACGTTCCTTTGGTGGGAAATTCCTGGAAAATTTAATTCAAATTTTGATCCTGCCCAAAATGAGGAATCCCAAAAAAAGAACCCACAAAAAGAAGCACTGAGATCCTTTATTCAGGAAAAAAAATTTAAAATTTGGTTTTTTTTTTTTTTGTGGGTGAGGTCACCTATTGCACAACTGAAAATCCCCCCACAGCGTTTCCTTCCTGCTGTGCTGACGTGAGAAATTCCGAAATTCGAGTGAAAAGGGAAGTGATGCAACTCCAGGCTTTGCACAACAACCACCTGACATTTAAAAAAAATTAAAATATATATAAATATTTAAGAATCCAGGCTGATTTTCCAGTTTTGGACTTGATGGTTTGGAGATTGCAGGAAAAAAAAAGTGAATTTTTGAAGGCAGGGCTGGGTAATTTGATGGATTGAGCTGCCACTAAATTTGGGGGTTAAAAGTCAAATCCCCCCAAAAAACACCTGAATGCACCAGGAAAAGGGCAGAGAGTGAGGATTTAAAATTTTAAAAGTTTTGTACCAAAGATACAGGACCCAAATCCCTTTTCCCAAGAGGGGCAGGGAAATTCTGTGGCTTTAAAAAAAAAAAATCCAGATTTGGGGTTTAAAAGCCAAATTGCCCTCAAAAAACACCTGAACGCAACAGGAAAAGGGAAGAGGGTGAGGATTTAAAATTTAAAAAGTTTTGTACCAAAGAGACGGGACCCAAATCCCTTTTCCAAGAGGGGCAGGGAAATTCTGTGGCTTTAAAAAAAAACCCCAAAAATCCAGATTTGGGGTTTAAATGAGGATTTAAAATTTAAAAAGTTTTGTACCGAAGAGACGGGACCCAAATCCCTTTTCCCAGAGGTCAGGGAAATTCTGTGGGTTCAAAAAGCAACGTCAGGACCCCCAAAACACCTGAACGACCCACAGAGAGCCCCCCAAAAATTCAGATTTGAGGAGAAAAGGCAGCAAAAAGGGAGTGTCACACACAGGACGAGGAGGGGACTTGGGAGAAGGGACACAGCGAGGACAGAGGGGACACAGAGAAGCCACCAGGGCTGGGCTGAGCCCCCCAAAAATCCAGATTTGGGGAGAAAAGGCAGCAAAAAGGGGGTGTCACACCCCAGGACAACAAGGGACTTGGGGAGGAGGGACACAGGGAGGACAGAAGGGACACACAGAGGCCACCAGGGCTGGGCTGAGCCCCTGGGAGGAGAAAAGATTTGGAATTTCCACCCCGGTGTCACCCTGGGGACACTCCCAGGGCGTCTCTGCCGTGCTCCACATCCAGGAGGGGCCACCCCAATGTCCCCAGGGTCACCCCAGCCCCGAGGTGACACCAAATTCGGGTCGCAGAGGGGTCAGGGCAGCGCTGCCACATCTGGAGACGCAATAACAGCAGGGCAGAGGTGACAACAGCAGGATGGTGACAAGGTGACATCGCAGCCACCTTGGCTTGGCCCTCTCACCCCCCCATATATTCCAAGATGCTCCAAGGTGATCAAAGCCAGCCAACAATAAATCAGGTAGATTTCATGTTCACAATAATAATAATAATATTTATAAAAAAGAAGAACTCACAAGCTTGCAACAGCTTTAGAAAAGGCACCTGGGGCGTCACCTCGGCTCAGAGCAACGCCCAATATTTTAATTTTGGATTTTCTGGAGGTTTTCCTTTTTTCTTAAAAAATATAAATAGCTCTTCATCTTAAAAACAGATCCTCAGCTTGAGGTATTACAGTAACCTGTGTCTCGGCAGCATAAGGACAAGGAGAACTTTTGTTTTTTGGTTCGTTTTGTCGTGTTTTTTGGCTTTTTTTTTTAGCTGGAGACAGCCAGGATGCAGTTTTTGGATGGGCTGGCGCTAGGAGCCAGCATCATGTGGTTCTTGCAGGTGAGCGGGCCCGGGTAGGAGGAAGGTGGGGAAGGTTTGGAGGCCTGGTAGAGGACGCAGATGGAGCCGTGGTCGCCGATGCGGTAGCAGACCTCGAAGGGATCCACCCAGAGCGTCAGCTCGCGGGGCAGGAGCTGCAGCAGCCGCGCCAGGCTCAGCCCCACGCGCCCCGCGGCGCGCCCGATCAGCGGGTCCAGCCCGTGGCTGATGCGCAGGCAGCGGTAGCCGGAGCCCTTGGAGGGTTTCTCGGGGAACCAGTGGTGTCTGTAGTGCTCTGTGGAGGGAGAAAAAGCAGTGAGGAAGGGTTTTCTGCGGGTTTTGTGGGACTTAGTGGCCTAAATTTGGGGTTAAGTTTGAGTTTGAAGGTGGAATCCTAAAAAAAACCCTTTTTTCGCAGTGGTGTCCGTAGTGCTCTGAGGAGGGAAAGGAGTAGTGAGCAGGGATATCCCACAGGTAGATGGAGTTTAGGTGCCCTAAATTTGAGTTTTAAGGTGAAATCCTAAAGAAAACCCTTTTTTCTTAGTGGTGTCTGTAGTGCTCGTCCCCAGCAGCAGGTAAGTGGAGTTAAGGTGCCCGAAATTTGTGTTTAAAGGTGAAATCCTAAAGGAAACCCTTTTTTCACAGTGGTGTCTGTAGTGCTCTAGGAAGGGAGAAGAGCTCTGAGCAGGGATATCCCACAGGTAGGTGGGGGTTAGTGCTCTATATTTGAGTTTAAATTTGAGTTCTAAGGTGAAATCCTAAAGGAAACACTTTTTTCTCAATAGTCTTTGAAGCGCTCTGGGAAGGGAGAAGAGCTTTGAGCAGAGATATCCCACAGGTAGGTGGGGTTTAGTGCCCTAAATTTGAGTTTTAAGGTGAAATCCTAAAGAAAACCCGTTTTTGTCAGTGGTGTCTGTAGTGCTCCTCCCAGCAGGCAGGTAAAGTGGGGTTAAGGTGCCCGAAATTTGAGTTTTAAGGTGAAATCCTAAAGGAAACTCTTTTTTCTCAATGGTCTTTGAAGCGCTCTGGGAAGGGAGAAGAGCTGTGAGCAGAGATATCCCACAGGTAGATGGGGTTTAGTGCCCTAAAACTTGAGTTTAAATTTGAGTTTTAAGGTGAAATCCTAAAGAAAACCCTTTTTTCTCAGTGGTGTCTGTAGTGCTCTAGGAAGGGAGAGGAGCAGTGAGCAGGGATATCCCACAGGTAGGTGGGGTTTAGGTGCCCTAAATTCAGGGTATAAAGGCCAAATCCTAAAGGAAACCCTTTTTTCTCAGTGCTGTCTGTAGTGCTCCATCCCAGCAGGCAGATGGGGTTTAGGGCCTTTAGCTCTCACTAAATTTGGGATTTAAAACCCAAATCCCACCAAACACCCGGCCAGAGCCCCCCTGAACGCTGGGAACACAAAAGGAAACGGGCAGAGCAGGAATTTAAACCGTGCCAAAAATTCTGCGCCAAAAGAGACCCAAATCCCTTTTCCAAGAGGGGAGTGGGGGGGGAAGTGCTGGAAACCCCAAAACACGGCTCCTGCACCCCAAAACCGCCGCAGGACAATGCCAGGGGCTGTGGGGTGGCAGATAGGGCACAGCCCACCCCAAAGCTGCCCCTTATCGCTGCCCGGCCATCCCTCCTGGCGCTGATAACGCTGCCTGCGGCAGTGCCACCACCTCGGGTGGCACCGGGGGACAGAGGGACAGAGGGACAGACCCGAGGGGTGCCCGAGCCCAGGGGACATGGGGGGAACCCAGGAGGGGACATGGGGACATCAGGTCCCGGAGGGGACATCGGGGGACACCTCGGGGGGGAACACCCGGTCATGGAGGGGACACGAAGGGACATCAAGAAGGGGACACTGGGTCATGGAGGGGACACAAGGGACACCTCAGAAGGGACACCAAGAAAGGGACACTGGGTCATGGAGGGGACACGAAGGGACATCAGGTCCCGGAGGGGACACAAAGGGACATCAGGTCCCGGAGGGGACACAAAGGGACATCAAGAAGGGGACACTGGGTCATGGAGGGGACACGAAGGGACATCAGGTCCTGGAGGGGACACAAAGGGACATCAGGTCCTGGAGGGGACACAAAAGGGACAGGGACATCAAGAAGGGGACACTGGGTCATGGAGGGGACACAAGGAACACCTCGGAGGGGAACACCTGGTCCCAGAGGGGACACGAAGGGACATCAAGAAGGGGACACGGGGGACACTGGGTCATGGAGGGGACACGAGGGACATCCCTCGAAAGGGACACCCGGTCCCGGAGGGGACACGGAGGGACAGCAGGTCCCGGGAGCGACATCGGGTCCCGGAGGGGACACGGGAGGCATCAAGGAGGGGACACCAGGTCCTGGAAGGGACACTCGGGCCACTCGGGAGGGACACCACGTCCCGAGACCAAGACGGGAGGGACACCAGGTCCTGGAAGGAGCACAGAGAGCACTCAAAAGGTCCTCGCATCACCACGGAGGGCACTTGAAGGGACACCAAGGTCCTGGAAGGCACCAAGGAGGGGACACCAGGTCCTGGAAGGCTCACGGGGGGCTCAAAGGAGGGACACCGGTCCCGGAGGGGACACGGGGGGCTCGGAGCCACCAGGTCCTGGAAGGAGCACAGAGAGCACTCAAAAGGACACCAGGTTCTGGAAGGCTCACGGAGCACTCGAAGGGACACCAGGTCCTGGAAGGAGCACAGAGAGCACTCAAAAGATCCTCGCATCACCACGGAGGGCACTCGAAGGAACACCAAGGTCCTGGAAGGCTCACGGGGGGGCTCCAAGGAGGAACACCCGGTCCCGGAGGGCTCCAAGGAGGAGATGCCAGGTCCGGGAAGGAGCACAGAGAGCACTCAAAAGGACACCAGGTCCTGGAAGGCTCACGGGGCACTCAGGAAGGGACACCAGGTCCTGGAAGGCTCACGGGGCACTCGAAGGGACACCAGGTCCTGGAAGGAGCACAGAGAGCACTCAAAAGATCCTCGCATCACCACGGAGGGCACTCGAAGGGACACCAGGTCCTGGAAGGTTCACGGGGAGGGGCGGGGGCGGCACTCCAGCGGCCGCCTGGCTCTGAGGGCTCCCAGAAGAATCCGGCCACGAGTGGGGCTCCTGTCCTGGCCCAGAGCTCACCTGTGAGGGCCTCTCGCAGCGCCCCGCCGAACACCTGCAGCTGCTGCTCGCTGACACAGCCCCGCGTCCGCAGCAGGCCGGACACGAAGCTCACGGCGGCGGCGATCTCGGGCACCATGTCGGCGCGGGGTGCCCGGAGGTGACGGTGGTTCGTCCCGTTCGTCCCGTTCATCCCGCCGGGCTCCGGGTGACACCCGCGACCCTCACGGCGGCTCCGCGGCGCTCCTTCTGCTGCGCGGCCGCCTGCGCGCACCGCTTATATAGCGAGGCCGCCGTGTGACGTCACGGCGCGGTCGCGCCGTTCCATTGGTTGCGCCGCATGCAAATGAGGGAATGCAAATGGGGTGGTATGGTAATAGAGGCTGAGCTCAGCGCGGTGACGTCACAGAGAGCGGGGGGGTGGGGGGGGTTACCGGGGGGGCGGGGTGGGGGGGGGCAGAGGGGGACAGGGGGACAGGGACAGAGGGACAGAGGGATACAGGGACAGGGGGACAGGGGGATAGGGACAGGGGGACAGGGACAGAGGGACAGAGACAGGGACAGAGGGACAGGGGGACAGGGGGATAGGGACAGGGGGATAGGGACAGGGACAGAGGGACAGAGGGATACAGGGACAGAGGGACAGGGGGATAGGGGGACAGAGGGATAGGGACAGGGGGACAGGGACAGGGACAGGGACAGGGGGATAGGGACAGAGGGACAGGGGGACAGGGGGACAGGGACAGGGACAGGGACAGAGATAGGGACAGGGGGACAGGAACACAGGGACAGGGGGACAGGGACAGAGGGACAGGGACAGGGGGATAGGGGGATAGGGACAGAGATAGGGACAGGGATAGGGACAGGGGGATATTTTTCCTGTTAACCCTAAATCCCCATGATTTTAAAACCCTTTTACTATCACTGCCGGGCAGGAAAAATGGGAATCCAGCTGAGACAGAGGAAAAATTGAACAAAGTGGAAATCTATTTAAATTTAAGTAAAATGTGCTGCTTTAAACTTACTGCTACAGCACCAACAAAACTACCCCAGCTGAAAACAACACAAATTTCCACACTAAAATAACAACAAATTTAAAAAAAACTCCTCAGACCTTGAGACAGAATGACCCAAGAGATTTTTCTATACTTTTTAACAAAAACTGAATACAAGTGTAACTAGCTGTAAGTATAACACAAAATCAACAAAATAAATATACATAAACCTATTATAAAAATATTATTATTATAAAATTTTTAATATTATATTTTAGATAATTAAATATTTTATATTATATTTAGATTTTAGTATTTTATTATTATAAAATTCTAATATATAATATATATTATATATATTATATATTATACATATTATATATTATATATATTATATATATTTATAATATATTATACATATTATATATATAATATTATATATATATATTCTATTATATTATATAAAAATCAGTTAAGAGTAAGAAAAAAAGATCAAAAATTCTCAAAAGTACACATACTCTTAAAAAAATAATACCTGCATAAAATCCCAGCATGCATCCAACACTATAATAAAACATACCATCCCTATAAATCTGTATTAGAATTGTAGAGTTTTAAGTTTTAATTTTTAATTAAATAATATTTTATTAATTAAATAATGTCAGTTATTTAATATCTATATTATAATGTATATATATATAAAATTGTTTATTAATTAAATTAAATAATAATTTATTTCACAGCAAAACCATCCCGCTGGGAAACACCCCTGTGCAAAAACAGCTGGAAAAACCAAATTTAAAAAATAACCCCCACAAGTTTTTTGGTTTTATTTCGCTGAGCTGGCAGCAGGGCTGGTTCCCCTCATCCGAAGGAATATTGGGATGGACTCCTCCAACCCTAATAACCATTATTAATTGGCCATTGGGGGTTAATTGGGCTCGTTAGGCTGATGAGGATGAGCCAACCCCACTGGGCAGGATGGGGGAAGTGGTGGCACCATTCCCCAAATTCCCAATTTATTCCTCATCCCTTCCATGTCCATCTGGTTTGCTCCCAAATCTGCTTGGCCCTGTTCAACCCTTCCAAAAGGAGATTTCCTGTGGGTTCAAGGCTCTCTAAGCGGGTTTTGTATCCTTAATTTTTGGCCCTGGGTTTTTTAAGGCACAGCTCGGGGTTTAATGCAGCTTTTAAAACACTCCAGAGCAAACCAGAGCAAAGAAACCATCAGAAAATCAAATTTGGTTTAAAAAGAGAACTGAGTTTGAGGCTGCTCTGGCTGGGTTAATTTTCTACCCTGATTTCGATTTAAAAATTAAAATTAGAATTAAAATTAAAATTAAAATTTAAAAATGAAAAAAAAAAAAAAAAAGCAACAGGCCAAACTCAACAAATTCTGCTGAGGGATTGGCCAGGCTGGGGTTGGAACTGGTCTGACAGGAACCAGGAGTTCAGATACGCTCCCAAACCCTCCTGGTTACCCAAATGAGGCTCCAAACCAGTCAAGCTGGAAATCTTACCATTAAAAAAAAAAAAAAAATTAAATAAATAAAGGAAAGGGAGAGCATTTGGCATTCAACCAAGGGTTAAAACCTGAACTGCTCACAGGGACTGAGGCTTTGCAAGTCAGCAGCTTTGGGGTGTTTTATGTTCACCTAAAAGGCAGCAGCAGTTCCCACGCCACGCTTGGACTCGTTGTGGGTTTTTTTTTTAATTTTTTTTAGGGTGACTGTGGGAATCCAGAGCTTCCCTTGGCTGAAGGTCTGGGACCCTGGCAGGGGTCAGGAACCCCCCTGGACAGAGCCCCCAGAGACACTGGCTGGGATCTCTGCCCATGGAAAAGAGTTTTCAATCTTACAGGATGAATTACCAGCTCTCAGTGTTTGATAGGAGTAATAATTAAGTGTGGCACGGGTGCAAAAGTAAAATTTTAGGTTTCTAGATTAGGGGTTCAAAGGGGACAAGAATCCAACCAAGCACCAGGCAAACAATTCCCCAAACACATTCCAGATAGGAAAAAACAAGGAGCAGAAATAGAAATTATTTTCTTTCTCTCTGTGTTCTTCTATGAAAAAATCCTGAGAGAGAGAAGGATGTACCTGCCACACCCCAAAGGGATAAAATCTCCCCCAGCCCAGGGTAAACAACACGTGGGGGGCACAGCTGGGCACAGGCAAATTTACCCCTCGGTAATTCCTTTTTATCTGAAAGGAATTCCTCCTTATCTGGGGTGTGGCTGCCCAGCCAGGCCTTGCTCTTTCCCCTCTGGAAACTCCCAGGATAAACACAGACTCCAGTCAAAACAGCCACTCCCTCCTGCACACACCTGGGGACAGGTGAGGGTGACAACAAGTCCTTGGACAGGAATCCACGGGAAATTTGGGGGGTTCAGGATGGAGAAAAACAAGCCTGGGAGATGCCACCTCCTGTTCCAAGCCAAAAAAAGCAATCAGGGCACAACAGTGTTGGGAAAAGGACTAAAATTCCTCCAATTTCCCTGATTTTTTTTTTTAAAAAAGCAACCAGGACACAGCAGTGGTAAGAGACCAAAATTCCTCACATCTCCATGAATTTTTTTTTTAAAAAGCAATCAGGGCATAGCAGTGGTGGGATAAAGGACCAAAATTCCTTAGAATTCATAATTCGCCTGTGCTGTTTCAAGGTTGTTTATTCTGTTTATCTCTAACATGTTCTGCTGCCCTGCCGCAGCTCTGTCCTGCAGGGCAGCGTGTGGGGCTCTGCCCTCAGTGGGATGGTACAAACATTAAATACCACAAACTACCTGTGCTGGATTTACAATAACGTGCCAATATCTGTCACCTGCGTTGGACAGTGTGTCCCCAGCCTGAACCAACAGAAAAATGCCAACACCACAGTGAAACATGGAGGGCATGAAGAAGGAGAAAAAGGACAAGGCACACCCAATTTCCTCCATCTTGTCCCCTTTGAACCCCTAATCTAGAATCCTAAAATTTTACTTTTGCACCCGTGCCACATTTAATTATTACTCATATCAAACACTCAGAGCTGGTAATTCATCCTGTAAGATTGAAAACTCTTTTCCATGGGCAGAGATCACAGCCAGTGTCTCTGGGGGCTCTGTCCAGGGGGGTTCCTGACCCCTGCCAGGGTCCCAGACCTGCCAGGGCAGCCAGAGGGAAGCTCTGGATTCCCACACCAGCCCAACAAACCCAACCCTCCACCTCTGCCAGGGAAGGGCGAGGCCTCCTTGGGAAGAGCCCGGAGTGAGCCTGGAGGGATCTCCTGGAGCAGGGATCCGCTTGGGAAGAGGATCTGAGCTGGCTCTGGGTGTTGCCTCCTTCCGCTGGGCTGCTTTTGTGCCCTAAGTGCTGCTTGCAGGGCCTGGCAGCTGTGGCCTCGTTGATATTTCGTGGGTGTAGCCTGAGAAGAACCCTCAGGAACTTCTCCCAGTGTCCCTTCCCTCCCAAGCTGGAGGCTGGACCATTCCCAGGATAAAAGTCCATCATGGATTTTGGATTTGGAGAGGGCAGAGCTTTGGATCGCTCCCCACAGCCTCAAATCTTCATTTTGGCATCAAATAAAATCACTTTTTGCACACCCAGGAGCTTCTCCCAGTGTCCCTTCCCTCCCACGCTGGAGGCTGGACAGGATAAAAGTCCACCATGGATTTGGAGAGGGCAGAGCTTTGTATTGCTCCCCACGGCCTCAAATCTTCATTTTGGCATCAAATAAAATCACTTTTTGCACACCCAGGAGCTTCTCCCAATATCTCTTCCCTCCTACGTTGGAGGTTGGACAGGATAAAAGTCCACCATGGATTTGGAGATAGCAGAGCTTTGGATTGCTCCCCACGGCCTCAAATCTTCATTTTAGAATCAAATAAAATCGCTTTTTGCACACCCAGGAGCTTCTTCAGTGTCCTTTCCTTCCCACGCTGGAGGCTGAACCATCCCCAGGATAAAAGCCCACCATGGGTTACTCAATTTTTTTTTTTTTCACACAAGAAGGAAGGGAAAATTTGGAAAATTGGAGTTGGTCTGCTTCAGTCCCATCCCAAGAACAGCAGCACAACAAGGTCCACTTCAAAGGTGTCACCTGAGCCACACCTGACCTGAGAAAAATCATCAGCAGGGCCACCACAGCCTCTCAGAACACCCCAGGGGATGCTAAAAATTGCCCCAAATTACTCTGTGGGCTGCTAAAATTCGGCATAATTGCCTTAATTGCACCTAATGACACTTGGGCCATGCAAAGAAAGGCAGCACATGTGGGATAAAAAAGGCTCTGACCACATCTGGCCCAGGCTGAGGAGCTCCTGCTGGGCCCTCCTGCTCCCTGCCCTGCCCAGAAGGTTCCAGCTCCTCGATAAGATGAAAGCCCTGAGTGTCATCCTCATTTTTCTTATTTTTTGGATCTCTCCAGCTTGGGATAAAGGGATTTTCCAGCCAGTGTCCCTGTCCTTCACCTGGGGCTGTCCCAGCTCAGCCAGCTCCTCCTCCTGCCTCTGTAATTTGATTTTTTCCCACTGATTTCTGTCTTTTCTGCTGATTTGTTCATTTTTAAGAGTGGGGTTTGAGATAAAGGGATTTTCCATTTTCATCTCCCATTTTTTGTCCTCCTTTTTTTTTTTTCTATTCCCACTTTTTTATCCCTCCTTTTGTATCCTCCTTTATTTTTTACCCCTTTTTACCCCCCTTTATTTTTTACCCATTTTTATCCTCCTTTATTTTTTGCCCCCTTTATCCCCCTTTATTTTTTACCCATTTTTATCCCCCTTTATTTTTACCCCCTTTATTTTTAGCCTCTTTTTTTGTCCCACTCTTTTTTATTGCCCCTTTTCTTTTACCTCCCTTTATTTTTACCCCTCCTTTTTTAACCCCCCTCTTTTTTATACCCTTTTAAGCCCCATTTATTTTTTATTCCCATTTACTTTTTCTCCCCCTTTATTTTTACCCCCCTTTATTTTTTTATCCCTTTTTTTATCCCCCGTTATTTTTTATCCCCCTTTGTTTTTATTCCCCTTTATTTTTTATCCCCCTTTACTTTTATCTCCCTTTATTTTTTATGCCTTTTTTATCCCCCTTTATTTTTATCCCCTTTTTTGATCCCCCTTTATTTTTTACCTCCCTTTTTATCCACTTTTATATCCCCCTTTATTTTTTTCCCTTTTTTTATCCTCCTTTATTTTTTGCCTCTCTTTTTTATCCCCCTAAATTTTTTTATCCCCCTTTATTTTTTACCTCCCTTTTTTATCCCCGTTTATAATTTACCTCCCATTTTTATCCCCCTTTTTTAACCCCCATTTTTTTTTTATCCTTCTTTTTTTTTTTTTTTTTATTTTTAAATCTCCCTTTCCCAGACATTTGAAGCCCCCAATTCTCCTTTACTCCTCCACAAACCTTCTGAACACCCCAAAAAATCCTCAATTCTGCTTCAGGACTCAAAACTCCCAAATTCTGTGGGAGCCAAAGGATATTTTCCCTTTTCTATTTTTGAGAGGCTGGAATGGGGAGGAAAAAACCAAATTTAAAAAAAATTCTGGCGAAGAATCCCACCCTCGACAGCGAAACAACGCTTCATAAAGAGAAATAAAAATATTGTGCTGAGCAGAGGGGGGAAAAAAACAACCTGGAGTGTTTATCCTTGAATTGCTGACAGAGCCCAGCTGTTCCCAAATCCCAAATAATCCTAAATAATCCCAAATAATCCCAAATAATCCCAAATCCCACAGCCTTTGTTCCCAAAAAAGGGCCGCGCTTCCCTTGCTTTGACGTGGCCCCACGGACGTCAGCGGGAGCAGCAGAAGCTCCAAAACAAGTGACGTGGGAGGCAAAAGCTGCCAAGGAGAGCCCTGGAGCACAGCCACGCTTCCAAAAATGGAATTCCGCTGGAATTCCACCCCTGGGAGAGCCCCGGGAATGTCGGGGCGCTGCTGGGCAATGTCCCAAATTTAGGGCTTGAAGGGGTCCTGGGGAGGGGAATATGTAGGAAAAGGGGGGTGAACCCAGTCTGGAAAGGGGAGAGATAAAATCCTGATTTTCCTGGCAGAAAATATGGAATTGTCAGCAGGAAAACAGATCCTGTTCCGTGTCCCAGTAATGGATGGGACCAGGGTGGTGAAATAAAGGATTGGGAAAGAGAAGAGGAGGGAGGAAGGTCAGGGATTCCTGGAACTGAGGAAGGAGTGGGAGAGATCCAATCCTGATTTTCCTGTCAGAAAACTGGGAATTTTCAGCAGGAAAACAGATCCTGTTCCATGTCCCAGTAATGGACAGAACCAAGGGGTTCTGTCCTTTATTTCTGTGGGAGAAATAAAGGATTGGGAAAGAGAACAGGAGAGAGGAATGTCAGGGATGTCTGGAAGTGAGGAAGGAGTGGGAGAGATCCAGTCCAGGGAATCTGGGTTTTTCCTGGCAGAAAACAGGGAATTGTCAGCAGGAAAACAGATCCTGTTCCATGTCCCAGAAATGGATGGGACCAGGATGTGGGAGAAATAAAGGACTAGGAAAAAGAAGAGGAGAGAGGAACATCAGGGATGTCTGGAAGAGGGGGATGAATCCAGCCTGGGAAAGGGGGTGGACTGGGACAGATCCAATCCTGATTTTCCTGGCAGAAAACCGGGAATTTTCAGCAGGAAAATAGATCCTGTTCCATGTCCCAGTAATGGACAGAATCAAGGGGTTCTGTCCTTTATTTCTGTGGGAGAAATAAAGGACTGGGAAAAAGAAGAGGAGAGAGGAATGCCAGGGATATCTGGAAGTGAGGAGTGGGAGAGATCCAGTCCAGGGAATCTGGGTTTTTCCTGGCAGAAAATATGGAATTGTCAGCAGGAAAACAGATCCTGTTCCATGTCCCAGTAATGGATGGGACCAGGGTGTGGGAGAAATAAAGGATTGGGAAAGAGAAGAGGAGGGAGGAACGTCAGGGATTCCTGGAAGAGGGGGATGAATCCAGCCTGGGAGTGAGGAAGGAGTGTGAGAGATAAAATCCCGATTTTCCTGGCAGTAAATGATCCTGGAGGGTTTTTCCAGCCTTGGGGATTTTGGGATTCTGTGCTGCACCTCAGGTGAAGATGCTGGACCTTCATCCAGAGCTTCCCACAGGATGGATCTTGTGGCAGTGACCCCAAATATTCTGTTTGGAAAAAGGAGGAGAAATTTGGTCCATCCCAGCTCCCAGATCCCTGTCTGGAGGCAGCTGAGCAGATTCCAGCCTTGCCAACATTCCAGTCCCCTCCTTGCCCCTGTGCCAGCAGCTCCAGCAGCTCCGTGTGCGCCCGGGGAAGGAGGGACACGCGCAGGGATGACGCCATGGGACATCTGAGACGGCCAAAAAGGACAGAATGATCTCTGCCAAAGCTCAGGGCTGCTCTGCTGTAGGAAATAAATGGATTAATGCCTCACCAAGCAGCCTGGCAGGGCTGGGGGAGGTTTGGGATGGATGTGGTTCATGATTTCGCTTTAAATCTGAACCTGTCACGTCTTGGAGAGGGGTTTTGGACAAGGCCTGGAGTGACAGGAAAAAGGGGATGGCCTGAGGATGAAGGAGGGCAGGGTTAGATGGGATATTAGGGAGAAATTCTTCCCTGGGAGAGTGGGAAAGCCCTGGAATAAAATTCCCAGAGAAGCTGCGGCTGCCCCTGGACCGCTGGAAGTGTCCAAGGCCAGGTTGGAGCACCCTGGGATAGGGGAAGGTGTCCCTGCCATGGCAGGGGTGGAATGAGATGAGCTTTAAGGTCCCTTTTAACCCAACCCACTCTGGGATTCCAGGATTCCATGTCTCCCTCAGGCTTTAAAACCCTGGAGAAACAAACTGCCTTTATCCTGGGTGGGTTTATTTTTACCTATCCAAGTGCTCCGCGTCTATAAAATCTGCTCAAAAAATTCCTCTTCGCCTCAGATCTCGATTTGTGGCTGAACAAAGAGGAGCAACAACTCAGTTTTCTGGCCTGCAACCACTTTTCTTCTCCAAAAGTTGCCTGAAGACTCCTGGAAAATCCCTCCACAGCTGGGAAGAAGATAATAGCCACTCACTCCAGGATTCCCCTAGAGCCAAGAGCATGAAAACAGCCAGAAGAAAAAAAAAAAAGTTAAAACTGAGAGGATTTCTATCAGAAAGCTTTATTTAATCACCATTATTGCACAGAATTAAATCCGAGGGATGGAAAAGCGTTGGGATCACTGGGGCCAGTTGCAGCAGGAGCAGACGGGGTCGAAGACCAGCCCAGGTTGGCAGCTCTGCACGAAGGTCTGGCCGTTCAGGCAGTTGTAGAAGTTCCTCCCGTTGCTGGGGTCTGCGTAGATCCCGTTGGGTTTCCCGGCACAGAAACCGGAGCCACCGGAGCCACCGGAGCCACCGGAGCCACCGGAGCCACCGGAGCCACCGGAGCCACTGGAGCCGCCGCTGGTGGGAGGCTGGGGCTCAGCGGGGGGAACGCAGTCTGGAATTCAAGAATTCAAGCAGGAAAATTATTTATTTTCATGTTCCTGGTGTTTCATCCCTCCCACACCTCCATAGGGAGTTTGGGAGTCTCCACCAAGGAGCTGCTCCTGCTCCTGATGGTGGGAGCCTCAAATAGGAGGAGGGAATTCAGGCAGGAAAGGGTTGGAAGTGTTTTTTGTCCTTCCCATCCTTTATAGAGAGCTTGGGAGTCTCCACCATGGAGCTGCTCCTGCTGCTGGAGGTGGTGGGAGCCTCGGTGAGGGGAGGCAGGGGCTCAGAGGGGAGCACAGTATGGAATTCAGGCGGGAAAAGGGTTGAAAATGTTTCATCCCTCCCACACCTCCGTAGGAATTTTGGGAGTCTCCGTCAAGGAGCTGCTCCTGCTCTCCTGGAGCCACTCACCGCCGCTCTGCAGCCCCAGGCCCTTCTTCAGGCTGGAGATCAGCGGGTATTTGCCCTCCTTGCAGAAATCCCCAGTGAAGTCATCCATGTCCAGGGCCCACACCATGGCCCCTCCAAAGTTGTTCTTCTTCAGCCAATCCACCTGTGGGCAGGAAGATCCCGCTGAGCCCCAGGAACTGATCCCACAGGAGGCTCCGGCCCCGGCCCAGCACGGCCCCGCCGCCCCCAGACCTTGAGGCCGAAGCTCCTGACGTTGTCGTAGCCGACCCATTCGCTGCCCTTGTAGGCGTAGGGGACATCCTGGGGGGCATGCCAAGCCTGGGTGGCTCCGGAGTTCAGGAAGGTGCAGATCTAAGGAGAAGGAAGCAGGGATGTTATCCACAAAAAAGGGGAAAGCCCAGGCTCTGCCCAGCTCTTGTGCTGCTTCCCCATTCCCGGAGCACACAACTCCTTCCCAGCCATTCCACGGACAGCTCAGTGCCTGAGCCACGCAGAAAACTCCCTGGGAGCTTCCTGATCAATTCCTTCCAAGGGTTTGAGCAAGGAATGCCATGGGAACATCCACACCTCGTGGTAAGCCAGAGTTCCGGCCTCCCTGGTGTAGGGCCCGGCGGGGCCAGGGCCGGATGCTGGAGCCCCAACGGAGGTGTCGGATGGGCTCTGCAGGGTGAAGCTCTTCCCATAGGTTGGGAATCCCACCAGGAGCTTCTCAGCCGGGGCACCATTGCTCTTCCAATAATTCATGGCGTATTCCTGCAAGAAACCAGTCCCACTCGAGCCTTTGCCGGGATTTGTAGGATGAATTCCTCGAGATCTCCTCGGGGGAGCCACCCAGGCTCTGAGAGCTGCGAGGCTCCCACGGGAACACTCACAACGTTGAAGTATTTGTCGTCACCGCTGCGCAGGGGGCTGTTCTCACCCGTGTTCCTCTCCCAGGAGCCGTGGAAGTCGTAGGTCATGACGTGGATGTAATCCAGGTGCCTGCGGGGAGCAGGGCTGTGCCTCACCTGCGGCACCGGGGCTGAGGCTGCCACCGCCCGCACGGCCCCGCCCGTGGGGCTCCTCTGGGGCTCCTTCCCTTCGGCAGCAAACCCCTCACACCCCGCAGCCGTCCCAGCTTTGCCACTCACTTGCCCAGCTCAGCGATCTCGTAGCCGGCCTGGATGGTGGCAAGTCCGGCGGCCACAGCGGCGGTGACCATGAGCCGGGGCTGGCCGCTCTCTTTGGCCTCCTGCTCGAAGGCTGCCCGCAGCTCCTGGGGGACCCGGGGCACAGCGATCACCCGGGGGCTCCTCTGAGGCTCTGCAGCCGCCCGGGGCTCAGGGGCCGGAGCTGTGGCCAGCAGAGCCTGGAGCCAAGCCCACCTTAACCAGGAGGGTGAAGAGAGCCTTGTCCTGGGCAGGGCTGCCCCTGGAGCCGGGGTATTCCCAGTCCAGGTCCAGCCCATCGAATCCGTGCTGCCGCAGGAATTTGACAACGGACTTGATGAAGGTCTGGCGGTTCTGGGGCGTGGAGACCATGGTGGAGAACCTGGGCAAGCAGAGCAGGAGCGAGGTGGGGTTGGAATCCAGCCCCTTCCTGCTTTCCCTCCATCTCCCGGGAGTCATTATTGGAAAGAGCTGGTTTGAACTCACTTCTGCGTGCCGAAATTCCATCCTCCAATGGCCAGCAGGGTCTTCAGATCTTTGTTCCTTCAAGGGAAGAGGCAGGACCCTGAGATATTGCACATCCACGGCACCCCTGAGCAGGGCTGTCCCCTGGCCGTGTCTCTGTCATGCCTCACCCAGCATCCCTCACCTGGAGCTGCTGCCACCAAGCTGAGAGTGAGCCAGAGGGAAGGACGGGGAGGGAGAAGAGGAGGCCACAGGAGAGACCCGAGGAGGGCAAAGGAGGTAGAAGAGGTGAACAGAGGAGGGAGCAGAGAAAGGCAGAGGAGGGAGCAGATCCCTGCTGAGGCTGCTGGCACTCACTGCTTCTTGAGGCCGTTGAAGGACTTGTAGAGGGTCTCGTCGTTCCACTCGTACGTGGAGATCTCGTTGTTGCTCATGCCGGCGAAGGCATAGATCAGGTGGTTGCACAGGCAGGGATCGACATTTTCGGGGGTGAACTTGCCCGGGCCAGGCCGGTACTGGGCCCAGTTGGTGAAGTAACAGCTCAGCACATGGGCAGTGCCTGGGGGGACAGCGGCCGTGGAGGGGATGGAATTACCACCTCTCCAACCACACTGCTCCAAAGATCAATCAATCATTTCTCCCAGAGAAATACATAAACTCTTCCATCTATACATGAAATTGTGTAGGAGCTCTCAAATATCTAAACATTATCAGAAGGCTAAAGAAGCTTTATGAGAACTTTCAAAAGAACTACAAAAGAAAACACTTTTAAAAATCAGAGCAACACGTCACCTACCGAGGTGGGCGTTCAGCAGCAGGGCCAGGCCTGGCAGGGCACAAGGAAACAACAAAGGCGTCACTGCTTGCTCTCAGAAATCCAAAGCTCTTGAGCAAGGCTCTGCTCCCAAACTGGGGCACGAGAGTTTCTCTAAAATTTGCCCAAGCATTTCCAGTAAAATTTGACAAATCAGCCCCGGCAAAAGCACAGAGAAGAACCCAAACAGATGCCAAAGGAATCGTTTGGGTTTTAGGTTTACGTTTGAAAGCACATTTCAATTGCAGCCTGCAATGGACTCTGTCCATTTTCAAAGCAGAGCAGATCCCCAACCGCAGCAACGCTAAAGAAGAGAAATTCCCCTCCCCAAAGGAAATTGTGAAACCTTGGGCAGAAAAGAGAGAGCAGCATTTTCATCCCTCCAGCCCCGCACAGGCAGCAGAGGAGCAGCGCCAGAGCCTCCAGCCCTGCTCGGGAGGGCAGAGAGCTCCAGGGCAGCAGCACTCACCGGTGAGCAGAGGGAGCTTGGCCATCTCGGAGCAGACTGACGTGCTCAGGCTGCCTCCCACTTTTATCCCCTGCTCCTCTCTGCTGCCAGCCTGGCATCAGCAGGGATGGGCAAACATTATGAAATTTGGCAGAGAGTGACATCACCAAACCCACAGCAGGACAATGGGTCTGACACTGCAGCCGCAGGGGTCACTGCCCTGGGGCTGTGCCACATCCTGCTGCTGCAAGGGCACATAAGGAATGGGATTAGATTGCCTCGATTGCTCAAATGTTGTTTGAACAACACCTCTGAGTCCAGCTGGCTGCTGCACAGGGACCCACGCTGCAGCACTGTCCTTGTGTTGTCCTTGAAATGAGATAACAGCACTTAAAACGTGTTAAAAGGATGCACAGGCATCCAGATTTCGGAAAACCAGGCATCTGTTCCTTAATTTAAAAAAATCACAGTTTGTCTGAATGTGCCTGTAGAAATACCTACTCAACACTTTACCTGCTGAATAGCTCCAACAGAAGAGAGAAGAGAGAAGAGGTTCCCACACAATTTCATGGATAAATAGAATTGTTTACATTTTTCGCTGTGGGTGGAGAGAAATGATTGATTGATTTTTGGACCAGCGTGGTTGGAGAGGTGCTAATTCCATCCTCCAACCCACGGTCACTTTGGAATTCTTTGGGTCCCTGCTGCTCTGAGCTGAGGTGGGGTATCCCCGGAAAAGCAGAGGAAGTTTCTTTGTTGCCCTGATTTTTAAAAATGTTAAGTTTTCTTTTATAGCTCTTTTGAAAGTGTTAAAATTCTCATAAAACTTCTTTAGCCTTCTGATGATGTTTACGTATTCCAGAGGCAGAGTTCCCACACAATTTCATGGATAAATAGAATTGTTTACAGATTTCTCTGTGAGTGGAAAGAAATGATTGATTGATCTTTGGAGCAGCGTGGTTGGAGAGGTGGTAATTCCATCCTCCAACCCACAGTCACTTTGGAATTCTTTGGGTCCCTGCTGCTCTGAGCTGAGGTGGGGTATCCCCAGGGAAGCAGAGGAAGTTTCTTTGATGCCCTGATTTTTTAAAATGTTTTCTTTTATTACTCTTTTGAAAGTGTTAAAGTTCTCATAAAACTTCTTTAGCCTGCTGATGATGTTTACGTATTCGAGAGGCAGAGTTCCCACACAATTTCATGGATAAATAGAATTGTTTACAGATTTCTCTGTGAGTGGAGAGAAATGATTGATTGATCTTTGGAGCAGCGTGGTTGGAGAGGTGCTAATTCCATCCTCCAATCCACGGTCACCTTTGGAATTCTATAAATACCAGATATTGGAATAAAATTGATTCTTTTTCTCCTTTGAACTTCCCAAGCTTCTGTGCACTCATTTTGTGTCCAACAGCAACTTTTCTTTATTTCTTGGAGGTTAAACTCCACAAGGGACACCCCAGAAGGTGAGGCCAGTTCATTTTCCTCTCACATCTGTCCCCTCCTCTTCCTGCTCAGCTCTTTCCCAAACTGAGACACTCCCGTGTAAAGTCCCTAAGTAAAGTCCCATCAGCTGAATGCATCAAAACATCCTTTCCACATTTTATTTTCATGTTCTGTCCAGATGGAGACTCCCAGCGCTCCCCCTGTGTGAGGATTTATTGTGATTTATTCCCTTTTCCCCACTCAGGAGTGGGGACACGGCCGTGTCCCTGCACTGGGAGGTTTCATTCTTGAGGGGTGGCATGAAGGTGACTTTCCAGGAGGTTACCCAGCCTGGGATGACTGGAAGCCTGGAAAACAGCCTGGAAAACAGCCTGGAAAACAGCCTGGAAAACAGCCTGGTATCAGATTCTGGCTGAAATGCAGATAAAAACGTGCCAGCCTGAGCCTTCGGGATTTGGTGCAGGCACAGGATGGGGTAGGGCTAATAAAAGGGCAACATCCTGAAGGAAAAATATTTTTCCAATGTTTTTCTTGGTTAATAAAGTCCCAGGGTACAAATTCAACCGGGATAGATGTGGAAAATCCCACCCTCAGTGACCTCTGGAGCATTTTCAGCTCTGTTATCCAGGGAAGGTGTTTGGGTGTGAAAATGAGAGCATTTGGGGCAGACTCAAGGACAGTGATTTGTATTCATGTGGGGGTAACAAATCCTGGAGTTTTCCTTCAGGGTTTTTCCTTCAGGGCTTTTCCTTCAGGACTTTTCCTTCAGGAATTTTTCCTTCAGGACTTTTCCTGCCCTTTTGCTGTTATAACGAAGGTGGTTTGCTGTGGGTTCTCTGGGAATGCTGGGAGGTAACAAAGGGCACAAAAATTAGTCCTTGCTGACAGAATTCCATTTAAAAAGAGCAGATAGGGACCTTCCAACTATTCCAGTATTGGGTTGCAGAGGGATTTTACCACTCTGGGCTTTTCCCTCTAAAACTCTCGTGGTGCTGGGATCACCAACACTGGCACTACCAAAACAGAGGTGTGGTACAAGGGTTGATGGAAACAGAGTGAGTCAGAGTCAGCTTCTGCTGTGCTGTCCTCCCACTTGTTCCCGTAACCGCGGGTGTCAGGAGATTCGGGAAAGAAGATGACAGAAACAACGCTTCTTGCAGAAGAATTTTTGTTTATCAGGTGGAGAATGACTTAGTAAAAACTGATGTGGTGTTTCTTTAGTGATGGGATTTCAGTGTCTGCTTCCCTGGGGAGACCCCAGCGCATCTCAGAGCACCGGGGTCTCTCTGCTCACGTTCAGGTGAGCCCAGACCCCACAATATCCAACTTTTTATGTGCCCTTGCAGCAGCAGGAGGTGGCACAGCCCCAGGGCAGTGACCCCTGCGGACCCATTATCCTGCTGTGGGTTTGGTGATGTCACTGCCAAATTTCACAATGTTTGCCCATCCCTGCTGATGCCAGGCTGGCAGCAGAGAGGAGCAGGGGATAAAAGTGGGAGGCAGCCTGAGCACGTCAGTCTGGTCCCAGATGGCCAAGCTCCCTCTGCTCACCGGTGAGTGCTGCTGCCCTGGAGCTCTCTGCCCTCCCGAGCAGGGCTGGAGGCTCTGGCGCTGCTCCTCTGCTGCCTGTGCGGGGCTGGAGGGATGAAAATGCTGCTCTCTCTCTTCTGCCCAAGGTTTCACAATTTCCTTTGGGGAGGGAAATTTCTCTTCTTTAGCTCTGCTGCGGTTGGGGATCTGCTCTGCTTTGAAAATGGACGGAGTCCATTGCAGGCTGCAATTGAAATGTGCTTTCAAATGTAAACCTAAAACCCAAACGATTCCTTTGGCATCTGTTTGGGTTCTTCTCTGTGCTTTTGCCGGGGCTGATTTGTCAAATTTTACTGGAAATGCTTGGGCAAATTGTAGAGAAACTCTCGTGCCCCAGCTTGGGAGCAGAGCCTTGCTCAAGAGCTTTGGATTTCTGAGAGCAAGCAGTGACGCCTTTGTTGTTTCCTTGTGCCCTGCCAGGCCTGGCCCTGCTGCTGAACGCCCACCTCGGTAGGTGACATGTTGTTCTGATTTTTAAAAGTGTTTTCTTTTGTGGTTCTTTTGAACGTTCTCATAAAACTTCTTTAGCCTTCTGATAATGTTTAGATATTTGAGAGCTCCTACACAATTTCATGTAGAGATGGAAGAGTTTATGTATTTCTCTGAGAGAAATGAGTGATTGATCTTTGGAGCAGTGTGGTTGGAGAGGTGGTAATTCCATCCCCTCCACGGCCGCTGTCCCCCCAGGCACTGCCCATGTGCTGAGCTGTTACTTCACCAACTGGGCCCAGTACCGGCCTGGCCCGGGCAAGTTCACCCCTGAGAACATCGACCCCAACCTGTGCAACCACCTGATCTACGCCTTCGCCGGCATGAACAACAACGAGATCTCCACGTCCGAGTGGAACGACGAGACCCTCTACAAGTCCTTCAACGGCCTCAAGAAGCAGTGAGTGCCAGCAGCCTCAGCAGGGATCTGCTCCCAGTGGGGCCAGCCAGGACAGGGCAGGGGGACAGCCCCGTCCCCTGAGCTGGGGGATGGCAGCTCCAAGTGCTGCCTGTTGGCCTTTGGCTTTCCCACCTGGATTCAGCCTGCAAAGGCCATGGTGACACCAAATCCTGGGGGTCACTCTGGTTTCTATCCCTTCCTTGCAGGAACAGGAACCTGAAGACCCTGCTGGCGATTGGAGGAGGGAGTTTCGGCACGCAGAAGTGAGTTCAAACCAGCTCTTTCCAAAAATGACTCCCAGGAGACGGAGGGAAAGCAGGAAGGGGCTGGATTCCAACCCCACCTCACTCCTGCTCTGCTTGCCCAGGTTCTCCACCATGGTCTCCACTCCCCAGAACCGCCAGATCTTCATCAAGTCGGTCGTCAAATTCCTGCGGCAGCACGGATTTGATGGGCTGGACCTGGACTGGGAATACCCCGGCTCCAGGGGCAGCCCTGCCCAGGACAAGGCTCTCTTCACCCTCCTGGTTAAGGTGGGCTTGGCTCCAGGCTCTGCTGGCCACAGCTCCAGCCCCTGAGCCCCGGGCAGCTGCAGAGCCTCAGAGGAGCCCCCGGGTGATCGCTGTGCCCTGGGTCCCCCAGGAGCTGCGGGCAGCCTTCGAGCAGGAGGCCAAAGAGAGCGGCCAGCCCCGGCTCATGGTCACCGCCGCTGTGGCCGCCGGACTTGCCACCATCCAGGCCGGCTACGAGATTGCTGAGCTGGGCAAGTGAGTGGCCAAGCTGGGACGGCTGCTGGGCTTTGAGGGGTTTGCTGCCGAAGGGAAGGAGCCCCAGAGGAACCCCACGGGTGGGGCCGTGCGGGCGGTGGCAGCCTCAGCCCCGGTGCCGCAGGTGAGGCACAGCCCCGCTCCCCACAGGCACCTGGATTACATCCATGTCATGACCTACGACTTCCACGGCTCCTGGGAGAGGAACACGGGTGAGAACAGCCCCCTGCGCAGCGGTGACGACAAATACTTCAACGTCGTGAGTGTTCCCGTGGGAGCCTCGCAGCTCTCAGATCCTGGGTGGCTGCCCCGAGGAGATCTCGAGGAATTCATCCTACAAATCCCGGCAAAGGCTCGAGCGGGACTGGTTTCTTGCAGGAATACGCCATGAATTATTGGAAGAGCAATGGTGCCCCGGCTGAGAAGCTCCTGGTGGGATTCCCAACCTATGGGAAGAGCTTCACCCTGCAGAACCCATCCGACACCTCCGTTGGGGCTCCAGCATCCGGCCCTGGCCCCGCCGGGCCCTACACCAGGGAGGCCGGAACTCTGGCTTACCACGAGGTGTGGATGTTCCCATGGCATTCCTTGCTCAAACCATCGGAAGGAATTGATCAGGAAGCTCCCATGGAGTTTTCTGCGTGGCTCAGGCACTGAGCTGTCCGTGGAATGGCTGGGAAGGAGTTGTGTGCTCCGGGAATGGGGAAGCAGCACAAGAGCTGGGCAGAGCCTGGGCTTTTCCCTTTTTTGTGGATAACATCCCTGCTTCCTTCTCCTTAGATCTGCACCTTCCTGAACTCCGGAGCCACCCAGGCTTGGCATGGCCCCCAGGATGTCCCCTACGCCTACAAGGGCAACGAATGGGTCGGCTACGACAACGTCAGGAGCTTCGGCCTCAAGGTCTGGGGGCGGCGGGGCCGTGCTGGGCCGGGGCCGGAGCCTCCTGTGGGATCAGTTCCTGGGGCTCAGCGGGATCTTCCTGCCCACAGGTGGATTGGCTGAAGAACAACAACTTTGGAGGAGCCATGGTGTGGGATCTGGACATGGATGACTTCACTGGGGATTTCTGCAAGGAGGGCAAATACCCGCTGATCTCCAGCCTGAAGAAGGGCCTGGGGCTGTGAACGTGCCGTGAGTGACGGGAGGGACACGGGCTGGGGGCCCCGAAGGACACGGTGGGGTGGGCATGGGGGGCGTTGCAAACATCAGCCCTTCCCCGACGTGTCTCTCACTCACTTCCTCAGAATTTTAAATGTTTATTAAAACCTTATGCAAAAATACAAGAGAAGTCTGAATGGAGAAAATATTAATTTTATAATAATTATTTTATATTTAATATATTATATTATATTATTATGTTATATATAATTATCTTACTATATTAAAAATATAATATATAATAAATATTATATATAATACTATGTATAGAATATATAATAAATAATAATAATATATATAATTTATATATTATTATGTATTATACATTCTCTGAATGGAGAAAGTATTAATTGATATTATTAATAATGATTATATAAATATTTAATATATATTATATATTAAATATCTAATACATTCTATTATATAATATATATTAAAGCTGTGAGAATAATAAAAAGTTTAATAATCATGTAATAATAAAATTTAATAATCATGTAATAATATAAAATTTTTAATAATCATGTAATAATAAAAAGTTTAGTAATCATGTAATAATAAAAAGTTTAATAAAGGACAATAGGAGACCAGGACCATAAAGCAAAGGTTATTGGGTCAGCCAAGAGCACCCTGTTATCTTCAGAATACCCCTTAAATACCTTTTAATTACATCAGCCTATTGCATATTCATTTTCCTTATGCAAATCCATAAACCGGTTTAGATTTTCCAGGAACTGTTTGACACGGGCCCTCCTCGGGGCTGCATTTTCAGAGCATGCGTGTTTCTTGGCTGGGGTTTTGCTTCCTTTTTTTATCACTTCCAGTTTGCTCAACACTTTTTTCAGACAGCAGATGCTGATGGATTTATCCAAGCCCAGCTATTTTACTACTATGTCTAAGCTTAATTAAAAACTGAAATAAAAATTATATCATTATAACAAAGTTACTTTAACACCACACATATAAAATCCATTTTTATATTTGCAAAAAGCCAATGCTATAATATGTATCTATAACACATAACAGCTATTTCACTACTATGTCTAAGCTTAATAAACAGCAGAAATTAAACCTATATCTTTATAAAAAAGATATAGGTTTAATATATCTTCAACATCACGCATAAAATCTATTTTAATATTTGCAAAAAGACAATATTATGCGTATCTATAACACATATCAGCCATTTCACTACTATGTCTAAGCTTAATTAACAACTGAAATAAAAATTATATTGTTATAACAAAGTTACTTCAACATCACACATAAAAATCAATTTTTATATTTGCAAAAAGCCAATATCATAATATGTGTCTGTAACATTGACACCTGTGCTCGGATCTCATCCCAGCCAGGGAATTTTTGTTGCCCTACCAGCCGTTGTTGCCCTGATTTTTAAAAGTGTTAAGTTTTCTTTTATACCTCTTTCGAAAATATTAAAGTTCTCATAAAACTTCTGTAGCCTTCTGATGATGTTTAGAAGCTTGAGAGGCAGAGTTCCCACAAAATTTCATGGATAAATAGAATAGTTTACAGATTTCTGTGTGGGTGGAGAGAAATGATTAATTGATCTTTGGAGCAGTGTGGTTGGAGAGGTGGTAATTCCATTCTCCAGTCCATGGTCACCTTTGGAATTCTATAAATACCAGATATTGGAATAAAACTGGGTGTTTTTCTCTTCTGAACTTCCCAAACTTCCGTGCACTCATTTTGTGGCCAGCAGTGACAGGGAAGGGCTTGGATTCCATCCCAGCCGGGGATTTTTTGCTGCCTTGCCTTGGCAGTTCCACGGAAACCGAGTCAGGAGCTGCTGTCACATCGCCAAGGCTGTGACATCACAAGCCTGGGCTGCTGCCCGGAGCCAGCCCGGCCCATTCCCGAGGGAAATGCCCAATCCTGGCCTTTTCCCCGTGCCCCTGCCCCGTGCCCGTGGCACCTGAGCCCGGCCCGGGGGCTCTGCCCCAGGATGGCAGCGCGGCACGACCCCAAAGGTGAGAGCTGGGGGCACCGGGGGGCTGGGCTCCCTTCTCCTCCACCTCCTGCTGGAAATGCAGGAGAACCCAACAGGCAGGAATGCTGATGTCTGACTCAATTCAGAAGGCTGAATGATTTCTTTATTGTAACTATGATAAAATACATTAATATACTATATAAAAGGAGGATAATGAAACTACATACTGCTTTCTCTAACTCCAACACAACTCGTGACCCTCTCTGAGAGCCCAGCCCCAGGTGGGTTGGATTGGATTGGATTGGATTGGATTGGATTGGATTGGGTTGGATTGGATTGGATTGGATTGGATTGGATTGGATTGGATTGGGTTGGATTGGATTGGATTGGATTGGATTGGATTGGATTGGATTGGATTGGGTTGGATTGGATTGGGTTGGGTTGGATTGGATTGGGTTGGGTTGGATTGGATTGGGTTGGATTGGATTGGATTGGATTGGATTGGATTGGATTGGGTTGGATTGGATTGGATTGGATTGGATTGGATTGGATTGGATTGGATTGGATTGGATTGGATTGGGTTGGATTGGGTTGGGTTGGATTGGGTTGGATTGGATTGGATTGGGTTGGATTGGATTGGATTGGATTGGATTGGATTGGATTGGATTGGATTGGATTGGATTGGATTGGATTGGATTGGATTGGGTTGGATTGGGTTGGGTTGGATTGGGTTGGATTGGATTGGATTGGGTTGGATTGGATTGGATTGGATTGGATTGGATTGGATTGGATTGGGTTGGATTGGGTTGGGTTGGATTGGGTTGGATTGGATTGGATTGGGTTGGATTGGATTGGATTGGATTGGATTGGATTGGATTGGATTGGATTGGATTGGATTGGATTGGATTGGATTGGATTGGATTGGATTTGGTTGGATTGGGTTGGATTGGGTTGGATTGGATTGGATTGGATTGGATTGGATTGGATTGGATTGGATTGGATTGGATTGGATTGGGTTGGATTGGGTTGGGTTGGGTTGGGTTGGGTTGGGTTGGATTGGATTGGATTGGGTTGGGTTGGATTGGATTGGATTGGATTGGATTGGATTGGGTTGGATTGGATTGGATTGGATTGGATTGGCCACCAGGCTCAAACAATCCTCACCAGAATCCAACCAAGCACTCACCCCAGGTAAACAATTCTCCAAACACATTCCACATGGGAAAAAACAAGGAGCAGAAATAGGAATTGTTTTCTCTTTCATTTCTCTCTGTGCACCTCTATAAAAAATCCCGAGAGGGAGAGAAACGTGCTGCCACAACCTCCCCACTGCCATCAGCTTCTCAAGGATCTTCCCAGATCCCAATTCCCTGCTCAGGCTGGGAAAAATCAGCCCTGCCAGGAAAATTAACCCACAAACTTCAGAGGTTTGTGTCCAAAAAGGAGACAGAGGAGTCCTTTTGCTTTATTCCAATAACAGGACAGGCCATGGGGCATCCCCTGGGGTCTCTCCAATTTTTGGAGGATGCTGCCTTGATTTTTTTGCTGCCCTGCCTTGGCAGTTGTTGCCCTGATTTTTAAAAGTGTTCAGTTTTCTTTTATACCTCTTTTGAAAGCTTTAAAGTTCTCATAAAACTTCTGTAGCCTTCTGATAATCTTGACATATTTGAGAGTTTCAATATGTTTCATGGATAAATAGAATTCTTTACAGATTTCTGTGTGGGTGGAGAGAAATTATTGGTTGATCTTTGGGCCAGTGTGATTGGAGAGATGCTAATTCCATCCTCCAATCCATGGTCACCTTTGGAATTCTATAAATCCCAGATGTTTGAATAAAACTGGGTGTTTTTCTCTTTTGAACCCCTCAAGCTTCTGTGCACTCATTTCGTGTCCAATAACAACAAAACCCCTCCCAAATATCCAGGACAAAGACGAATCTGTCACTCCTTGTGAAAGACAAATCTGTTTGGAAAGACAAATCCCTCATTTCCCCTCGTGGCTTTGGAGAGGCAGAGGCAAAGAGCAGAGGATGAAGGCAGTGCTCACTCTTTTCTCTCTTTTTTCTCTCTTTTTTTTCCTTGTTTATCCCACCACTGGCATTTCCCCGTGCCCGTTCCCCAGCCGTGGCAAAGCTCATCTCCTTTGGGACAACTCAAGATCGGAAAATGTTCCCCCACCACTTTGCCCCGGACAGGCTGGGCATTGAGGTGCTCGGGGTGCGGGGCAGCCCCTTCCTGGGGCCAGGCTCTTACCTGGGGCCAGAGGTGAGCTCCTCCTGCTTCTGGGGTCACTTGTAGTGAAACCTAAATTTTAAAGAATTTAGAGGTTTTAGAGGAGCGAAGATTTTAGTTAGAGAAAAGCCTTACTAGAGTTAATTAGAATAAATTAGTAGGCCTTGTGTGGGAATCCAGAGCTTCCCTCTGGCTGCCTTGGGACCCTGGCAGGGGTCAGGAACCCCCCTGGACAGAGTCCCCAGAGACACTGGCTCTGATCTCTGGCCATGGAAAAGAGTTTTCAATCTTACAGGATGAATTACCAGCTCTGAGTGTTTGATATAAGTAATAATTTAGTGGCACGGGTGCAAAAGTAAAATTTTAGGATTCTAGATGAGGGGTCCAAAGGGGACAAGATGGAGGAAATTGGGTGTGTCTTGTCCTTTTTCTCCTTCTTCATGCCCTCCATGTTTCACTGTGGTGTTGGCATTTTTCTGTTGGTTCAGGCTGGGGACACACTGTCCAACGTAGGTGACAGATATTGGCACGTTATTGTAAATCCAGCACAGGTAGTTTGTGGTATTTAATGTTTGTACCATCCCACTGAGGGCAGAGCCCCACACGCTGCCCTGCAGGACAGAGCTGCGGCAGGGCAGCAGAACATGTTAGAGATAAACAGAATAAACAACCTTGAAACAGCACAGACCAATTATGGCTTCTGCTTTGGCAGCGGGGCTGACAGACAGAGACTTTCTACAATCTCAGAATCATCAATACCTCAGATTCCGACAGCCTTGATGGAGTTCCTAACAGATCCTCGAGGCTCTGCAGTAATGAGAAATTAAGGGAATTATTAGGAATAAGTTTAATTGGAATAGTATCTGCTGCTCGTGCACTCCTGCCCTGCAAAGGATGCCTTTGAACAATATCAAGAAATAATTTTGGGTTTCAAACTGCGACAGAACATCCTCAAATCCTCCACGAGCACCCGGCCCATGAGCACCCGGGGGTACGTGATGGGAGCCAGGACAGCCCCGCGCTTCCAGAAGAAGGCTCAGGTAAGGAGAGCAAAAAAAGAGGGAAAAAGCAGCAAAAAAAACCAGGGGAAAAGCAGCAAAAAACAGGAGAAAAGTAGCAAAAAAAAAGGAGGGGGAAAAGCGGCCAGAAAGAGGGGAAAAAAAGCAGCCAAAAAAGAGAGGCAAAGCAGACAAACAGAAGGAAAAAGTAGCCAAAAAGAGTGAAAAGGCAGCAAAAAAAGAGGGGAAAAGCAGCCAAAAAAACAATGGAAAAACAGGGAAAAAAAAACCCCAACAACAGGGAAAAGGCAGCTGAAAAGAGGGAAAAAAGCTGGAAAAAAGAGGGGGGAAAGCAGCCAAAAAGCAGCAAAAGAAAGAAAGGGGAAAGCAGCCAAAAAATGGGGGGAAAGCAGGAAAAAAGAGGGGAAAAGCAGGAAAAAAGAGGGGAAAATCAGCCAAAAACCAGCACTCCCATCCCGTTTCCCTCACTCCCATCCCGTTTCCCCCATTCCCATCCCCGTTTCCCCATTCCCATCCCCGTTCCCGCACTCCAATCCCCGTTCCCCCATTCCCATCCCGTTTCCCCATTCCCATCCCGTTCCCCCATTCCCATCCCGTTTCCCCCATTCCCATCCCCATTTCCCCCATTCCCATCCCATTTCCCCCATTCCCATCCCATTTCCCCCATTCCCATCCCCGTTTCCCCATTCCCATCCCGTTTCCCCCATTCCCATCCCATTTCCCCCATTCCCATCCCCGTTTCCCCATTCCCATCCCGTTTCCCCCATTCCCATCCCGTTTCCCCCATTCCCATCCCGTTTCCCCCATTCCCATCCCGTTTCCCCATTCCCATCCCCGTTTCCCCCATTCCCATCCCGTTTCCCCATTCCCACCCCATTTCCCCATTCCCACCCCGTTTCCCCATTCCCATCCCGTTTCCCCCATTCCCATCCCCGTTTCCCCATTCCCATCCCCGTTTCCCCCATTCCCATCCCCGTTTCCCCATTCCCATCCCATTTCCCCCATTCCCATCCCCATTTCCCCCACTCCCACCCCGTTTCCCCACTCCCATCCTGTTTCCCCCATTCCCATCCCGTTTCCCCCATTCCCATCCCCGTTTCCCCATTCCCATCCCCGTTTCCCCCATTCCCATCCCCATTTCCCCCATTCCCATCCCGTTTCCCCATTCCCATCCCCATTTCCCCCATTCCCATCCCATTTCCCCCACTCCCATCCCCGTTTCCCCCATTCCCATCCCATTTCCCACATTCCCATCCCATTTCCCCCATTCCCATCCCGTTTCCCGCAGACCGTGACTCCCGGTCCCGCTGCCTACGGGCCCTTCCCGGTGGGGCCCGGCCCGGCCCGGCCCGGCCCGGTTCCCTTCTCCTCCAGCAGCCCCCGATTCCCGAACCGCCTCCGGGACAAGGACCTGTACCCCGGGTGAGTGGAACCCTCTCCTCGCAAAAAAACACCAAAAAACCCCCAAAAAAACCCCAAAAAAACCCCCAAAACCCCAAAAAACCCAAAAAAAACCGCCAAAAAACCAAAAAAACCACACCAAAAAACCACCAAAAATGAAAAAAAACGACTAAACAAAACAAAACAGAAACACCACGTTTTTATCTCCTAAAAAGAAAGTTTTTATCTGCAAAAAAGAAGGGTTTTATGTCCAATAATAATCACTGGGATATTTTAGTTAACATTGGGATATTTTGGTTGACATTGGGATATTTTGGTTAACACTTGGATATTTTGGTTAACACTTGGATATTTTGGTTAACATTGGAAAATTCTGGTTAATATTAGGAAGTTTTGGTTAACACTTGGATATTTTGGTTAACATTGGGATGTTTTGGTTAACATTGGGATATCTTGGATAATACTGGGATATTTTGGATAATACTGTGATATTTTGGATAATACTGGGATATTTTGGTTAACACTGGGATATTTTGGATAAAATTGGGATATTTTAGCTAATATTGGAATGTTTTTGGTTAATATTGGGATATTTTGGTTAATATTGGGATGTTTTGTTAACATTGGGACGCTAACTGTAAATTGTTTATTGTAAACTGGGATATTTTGGTTAACACTGGGATATTTTGGTTAACACTTTGATATTTTGGATAATACTGGGATAATATTTTGGACAATCCTGGGATATTTTGGTGAAACCAAAAGCAGCTCCAGAGGGGATCTAAACCGTTGCTGGTTCCTTCAGGCCGGGCACTTACGACATCCAGGAGCCTTTCACCAAAAAAGTCACTTGGCCAATGAAATTTGGGGCTCCGGACTGGGCCAAGGTGCCAAAACCGGCCCAGAGGATGGTGAAGGTGCAGGTGCAGAAGGTGAGGAAATTCCCTTTGCACTCCACATTTCCTCTGTTTTATTTACTATCATTTTATTTTATATTTTTATTTTATTTTATTTTATTTTATTTTATTTTATTTTATTTTATTTTATTTTATTTTATTTTATTTTATTTTATTTTTATTTTATTTTATTTTATTTTATTTTTCTTTTATTTATTTTGTTTTATTTTTCTTTTAATTTAATTTAATTTTATTTTATTTTATTTCATTTCATTTTATTTCATTTTATTTAATTTAATTTTATTTTATTTCATTTTATTTTATTTCATTTTATTTTATATATATTTATTTTTAAATGTTATTTTCTTTATACATTTCCACTTCTGCTATGCTTTGTTATCCTTTCCTGCCTGAAAGTTTCTAAGAGACAAAATTTCATTTCCCATTTTCACTTTTTTATTGAATATTATTTTATATATTTTTTTATTATTTTATTTTATTTTATTTTATTTATTTTGGTTTATTTTTATTTTATTTTATTTTTATTTTATTTTTTTAATTTTTATTTTATTTTATTTTATTTTATTTTATTTTTTTATTTTTTATTTTATATATTTATTTTTAAATTTTATTTATACATTTCCACTTCTGCTATGCTTTGTTATCCTTTCCTGCCTGAAAGTTTCTAAGAGACAAAATTTCCTTTTCATTTCCCATTTTCACTGTTTTATTGAATGTTATTTTATTCTATATATTTATTTTATATAATACATAAATAATATTTTATATAGTTCCACTTTCCTTATATTTCCACATTTATATATATCCACTTTTCTTTTCACTCCATATTTTCACTCTTTTATTGGCTATAATTTTATTTTATAAATTTATTTTTATTTTATTTTATTTTATATTTTTATTTTATATTTTTTATATATTTCCACTTTCATTATGTTTTGTTAACATTTCCTGCCTGAAAGCTTCTAAGAGACAAAATTTCCTTTTCATTTCCCATTTTGTTTTTCTTTCCTGCTCCTCAGAGAGAAAATTTCCTTTTTCACTTCACATTTGCACAATTTTTTTGTCTTTTTCCCTACCCAGGGCACAAAACAAAAGTGATTTTCTCTCAAATAATCCCCGTTTGCAAAACCCTTCAAAAAAAAACCCTTTTTAATCAGAAATTTTCAAATTTCCACCCCAAAAGGAGCAAAGTGGGGCCTCCACTGCCTTGTGCTGGAGTGAAAATCTGATTTAAATCACAATTTTAGGTCTCATCCCTTCATTTTCTGGTGAATTTTCATTGTTATTCATGAAAATTTTAATTTTTTCTTTTTTTTTTAGATGACTGTGGATAAAAAATTCCATAAAAATCAGGGCAGAGAGGCGTACCTGAAGTTGTACCACAGCTGAGGGGAAATATCTTTATTTGGAGAAATATCTTTATTATTCCACCTGCAGCACCAGGCTGAATAAATTCAGTATTTTAAATGGTTTTTTAATGTTTTTAATTCGCTCTGCTCGATGTTCTCAGCCCCATTCCAGCAACTTGGGAAGAAATTTAATTTCAGAATTTGTTTTAAAAAGTTTGGATGTATTTTAAATTTAAAGATTTTTTAAAATATTTTAATGTCTTTTAAATGTGTTGGAGATTTAAAAAAAATATATTTTAAGCTAATGAACTGAAATAAAATAATTATATATATATATATATATATATATAAAAATATATAAATATATATAATATATAATATATTTATATATTTTATATATAAATATATAATATATAAATATAATATATAAATAATGTCTATTTATATAAATAAACATTCTTATTTTATTATATATTTTATATTATATATTATTTTATTCTATTATATATAATAAATAATTTTATTTATATACATTTTAATCTTTTATATAAAATATATAAATTTTATATTTATTACATTATATATGTAATAAAATATACTCTATATATTTTATTATATTATCTATTATTTTAATATATTATATGTAATTTATTATATAAAATATATAAATAGATAAACCATATAAATATATACATATATAAAAATATATAAAAATATATAAGCCACATAAATATATCAAATATATAAATATATGTATAAATATATATTTAAATATTAAAATATAATCCATTATAATATATAAAGTATATAAATATATAAAAATAGATATTTAAATATAGAAATATATAAAATCCAAATTGAAGTAAAAATTCAGATTCTAAACTTACTCCATTTAAGGTCTCTAATAAATTATAAATATATTCTCATTTTTAGTGCTTAAATTTAAAAGTGAGAATATAGATTTATATCTAAATTTTTTCTAAATTTCCTTTTATTATGAACATACTAAATTATTATTCTGTTCCTCTGATAAAATAATATTAAATTTAATTTATTAATTTTTATTAAGAAAGGAACATAATAATACTTAATACCTTTACTAAATAACTCTAATTACCTTTACTATATCATTATTATTCCTTTATTATGAACATAAAAATTACAATTTGCTCGGAAGGAGATAAAATTTCTTTTATTACGAACATAAAAATTACAATTTTCATTCCACTTTTTTTTTTTTTTCCCCCTACCCCGCAAGGGATTTTTTCCTTGCAGAAAACAAAACCCAAAAAATTTAAAAAGAGATAAAATTTTTGAATATATACAATTATTTACAGCGTGTTCTGTACATTTTTCATTCTATACAAGCAAGGCACCAGCAGAAGTGACAGTGGCACACACAGGGGGGGAGTTAAATTTAATTTCAGTTATTTTTTTTTGGCAGGAAATCACTGAAAAAAAAAACAAACCCCAATTTTAAAATTATTTTTGTCTCCCTGGGTGATGGAGGAGGTGAAGGTGGAATTTGACCGAAGCACAGGAGATTTTTCTGAGGGGAAATAAAGGGGTGAAAAACAGGAAATAAAGGAAATAAAGAGGTGGAATAAAGGAAATAAAGGGGGGAAACAAAGGAAATAAAGGGGTGAAATTGAGGCAATAAAGGGAGGAAATAAAGGAAGTAAAGAAATTCAAAAAAGGGGGAATAAAGGAACTAAAGGGGGAAATAAAGGGAGAAAATACAGGAAATACAGGGAGGAAACAAAGGAGTGAAATAAAAGGGGAATAAAGGAAAAAAGGTGTGAAATAAAGGAAATAAAGGGGTGAAATAAAGGAAATAAAAAGGTGAAATAGAGGAAATAAAGGGGTGAAATAAAGGAAAGAAAGGGGGAAATAAACAAAATTAGGGGCAAAATAAAGGAAATAAAGGGGGAAGTAAAGGAAAGACAGGGGTGAAATGAGGGCAATAAATAAAGGAAATAAAGAAAGTAAATGAAGGAAATAAAGGAAATAAAGGGGGAAATAAAGGTAATAAAGGGTGAAATAAAGGAAATAAAGGGTGAAATAAAGGAAATAAAGGGAGGAAATACAGGAAATAAAGGCGTGAAATAAATGAAATAAAGGGTTGAAATGAGGGCAATAAAGGGAGGAAATAAAGGAAGTAAAGGAAGGAAATAAAGGCAATAAAGGGAGGAAATAAAGGAAGTAAAGGAAGGAAATAAAGGCAATAAAGGGGGGAAATAAAGCAGGGGAGAAAAATCAAACTGTGTCACTCTGAGCTCCATCTCCCTCCCAGCTCCATGTCCCTCCCAGCTCCGAGTCCCTCCAAGCTCCGAGTCCCTCTGAGCTCCATGTCCCTCTCAATCCCGTGTCCCTCTGAGCTCCGTGTCCTTCCCAGCTCCAAGTCCCTCCGTGCTCCAAGTCCCTCTGAGCTCTGTGTCCCTCTGAGCCCTGTGTCCCCGTGTCCCTCTCATCCCCATGTCTCTCCCAGCCCCATGTCCCTCTGAGCTCCATGTCCCTCCCAGCTCTGTGTCCCTCTGAGCTCCATGTCTCTCTGAGCTCCGTGTCCCTCCCAGCTCCGTGTCCATCCCAGCTCCGTGTCCTTCCCAGCTCCGTGTCCCTCCGTGCTCCGAGTCCCTCCGTGCTCTGTGTCCCTCTGAGCTCCGTGTCCCTCTCAGCCCTGTGTCCCCGTGTCCCTCAGTCCCGTGTCCTTCCCAGCTCCGTGTCCTTCCCAGCTCCATGTCCCTCCGTGCTCCGAGTCCCTCTGAGCTCCGTGTCCCTCCCAATCCCGTGTCCCTCTGAGCTCAGTGTCTTTCCCAGCTCCGTGTCCCTCTCAGCCCCATGTCTCTCCCATCCCCGTGTCCCTCCCATCCCCGTGTCCCTCTGAGCTCCATGTCCCTTCCAGCCCCGTGTCTCTCCCAGCTCCATGTCCCTCCCATCCCTGTGTCCCTCCCATTCTCGTGTCCCTCTGAGCTCCATGCCCCTCCAAACCCCGTGTCTCTCCTATCCCCGTGTCTCTCCTATCCCCGTGTCCTTCCCATCCCCGTGTCCCTCCCATCCCCGTGTCCTTCCCAGCTCCAAGTCCCTCTGAGCTCCATGTCCCTCCTAGCCCCATGTCCCTCCCAGCTCCATGTCCCTCTCAGCCCCGTGTCCCTCCCATCCCCGTGTCTCTCCCATCCCCGTGTCTCCCCCAGCTCCACGTCTCTCCCATCCCCGTGTCCCTCAGCCCCTCAGAACACAAATCCCCCCGCCCCGAGCAGAACCCAAACTCCCCCGGCCAATTCCCAGGTGCTTTTCCTGCCGTGAGCCGAGGGGAAGCGGGGTGGGAGTGGAGCTCTCCATGCAGAGTTCACCTCCTCCTTCCTCAGCCCTTCCGCCTCTCCTGACCCCCATGGGAAATCCCAAAGGAATTTCGGATCCCCCCCACCCCGGTCACTTCTTCCTGCGGATTTTGGGTTTCTTCACGGGCCGCAGGTAGGGGTTGTCGATGACGTTCTCCTCCCCGTTCCTGCTGCCTGCCAGGGAGCTGCTCTGCTGCAGCACCGAGCTGTTCTCCTTCTCGGGCCCTGCATCATCCTGGCACAGCCAAAAACAACAATAAATAAACCAAAAACAGGCTTGGAAATCCTTCTGCCCACAGAATCCATGGCTGATCCACCCCTGGAAGTGTCCAAAGCCAGGCTGGAACAAGCTGGGATAGGGAAATGTGTTCCTGCCCATGGGACAGGAGTTTTATGGTCCCTCTCACCCCAAACCATTCCAGGATTCCCAGTTCAAAGCCCTGTGGGCAGGAGGGACAATCAACAACCAAGCACACGAGGGGCTGCATTAGAGGCCAAGCCTCCTGGTTCCTGAGACAGCAAAATCCCTTGGGAAACTGAAAATTCAGGATTTACTGACAGCTCCTGCTCCAGCCTCGTTCTGCACTGAATTCTGCAGGGACCTGAAGAGCCAGGGTAATGTTCAGTTCCCCTTCCCATTCCCCAGAAAACAGAGCCGGGTTTTCCAAATTGGGGAACCCTGACACTGTTCAGTTCCGTTTCCCATTTCCCAAGGGACAGAGTCAGAATTCCAAGCTCAAGAACCAGGACAATGTTCAGTTCCATTTCCCATTTCCCAAGAAATAAAGCCAGGTTTTCCAAGCTGAACAACCAGCTTCAGTTCTTCAAAGTTCAGTTCCATTTCTCATTTCCCAGGAGACAGAGCCAGAATTCCAAACTGGAGAACCCTGCCACTGCTCAGTTCCATTTCCCATTTCCCATTTCCCATTTCCCATTTCCCATTTCCCATTTCCCAGGAGGCACAGCCAGAATTCCAAGCTGAGAAACCCTGCCACTGTTCAGTTCCATTTCCCATTTCCCATTTCCCATTTCCCAGGAGGCACAGCCAGAATTCCAAGCTGAGGAACCCTGGCACTATTCAGTTCCACTTCCCATTTCCCATTTCCCAGGAAACAGAGCTAGAATTCCAAACTAGAGAACCCTGCCACTGCTCAGTTCCATTTCCCATTTCCCATTTCCCATTTCCCATTTTCCATTTCCCATTTCCCAGGAGGCACAGACAGAATTCCAAGCTGAGGAACCCTGCCACTGCTCAGTTCCATTTCCCATTTCCCATTTCCCATTTCCCAGGAGGCACAGCCAGAATTCCAAGCTGAGGAACCCTGTCACTATTCAGTTCCATTTCCCATTTCCCATTTCCCAGGAACAGAGCCAGAATTCCGAGCTGAGGAACCCTGCCACTGCTCAGTTCCATTTCCCACTTCCCAGGAGGCAGAGGCAGAATTCCAGGCTGCAGGAATGGCCCCCAGGAGCCCCCCAGGGTGTCCCCACCGTGCTCATGTGCAGCGGGAGGTTCTCGGTGTCCGTCTGCTCGTCCTGCTCCGAGGAATCCGTCTCCTCCATCTGCTGCATCTCCAGCTCGGAGGGGAGCAGGGCTGTCAGGTAGGGCACAGTGAAAGGCCTGGCAGCAATCACTGGCAGCAGGGAAAAGAGGAGACGCAGTCAGGAAACCGGGAGAAATTCCTCCCCTCAGAAATTAAGGACAGAGTTATATGGAGATCAAACATTTTGCTGGTTCTGGGTTTGGATGTGTTTCCTTATCCTGCTGTTGCCAAGGATC